CTTAACCTCTGAAACCTCATTGCAAGCCAAGTCATTTGTCCCTAGATGGACAAGTACATCCAATTCCCCTTCCTGTTTTGCTTGCTTAACAATATTACAGATACGTCTCCTGTCTCTGTGAGCAGTAGCTCCGGGAAGACACCTCACAAGACCGCCATTGTCCATCTCCACACCTCATAATGGAATCCCCCAACAACAACTGCTTTCTATTAGGCCTCACCATAGTCTCCAAGCCGGTCTCCACAACACCACTAGTCTCAGTGCCTCTCTCCACAACACCACTAGCCTCAGTGCCTCTCTCCACAACACCACTAGCCTCAGTGCCTCTCTCCACAATACCACTAGCCTCAGTGCCTCTCTCCACAACACCACTAGCCTAGTGCCTCTCTCCACAACACCACTAGCCTCAGTGCCTCTCTCCACAATACCACTAGCCTCAGTGCCTCTCTCCACAACACCATTACACTCTGAAAGTGCAGAAAATGAATTATGAAGAGCAACAGACTGTGCAAAATGCCTTTTATCCACAACTCTAAGTCTACCGGATCCTACAGTAATCCATCTGTCATTCCTAGTATGTCTCTGCGGCAGTGGCTTTGCAGCAGTTCCAGTCTGAGTTTGTTCACCAGATAATTTACAAATCTCAGACTTCAAAAATACAATCTCCTGCTGCAAGATAGAGAACTGTCTACAGATTAGACAACAACCAAACCTCCAAGAAGTGGAACGTGAAACAAATGCATAGCAATTATTACACTGAACTAAGTCTGCCATTCCAATTAGGAGAATAATTTAAATCAAACAAATCTTAACTTTGTATTTATCCTCCTGAATACATCAGATTACCTCCAGTTTCTCTCCAGAATATCTCCAACTACACACTTAGAAACAGCACTTAGAAGTAGCACCAAGCTATATTAGCCAAGCCAATGACAACAAGCCTTATATAACTCCTAAAATCACCACCCACTAGGAATGTTTAACACCTGGGTAGGCCTCTGCTTATTTTCAAACAATAGCTAATTTAAACAGCAATCAATATCAAGTAATCTAATCAAATGCCTTATAATTACCAACAGGAATTCAAACCTTGTGCAATCAGTAACCTTTTCCTACAGATGAATCTTACCTGTAACAGTAGAAAAGAAAGCTCTTAGCACAACTCCGCGGGACGAAAGGAAGCAGTTAAGACTAATACTCTGAGACTTTAAAGGAAAAGATACTATATAAAAGGAGAAGCATTTTATTGGAAGATTGCCACATTTGGTTGGTGCCATTTTCGGGATACTGTCCTCACTGATAGTCTCCTGGGGGAAGAGGAGAGCAGTAGTAAGAGAAGGCTTACCACTGTGAAAAAAGATCCACATTTACCAAGTATCTGAAGCAAAAGAAGACACAGCATATTTCTGAAAGCATTTCTTGGGATGTTAAAGTGTGAGTGAGCATTTGTCACTTACTCATATACCCAATCACAGTATATACAGTATTGCACTATGCCATATATTTTCTGTTTCCCTAGCTTGGAATAGCCCTATATCATATGCAAGCTCCATACATAAGCAGAAAATCCCTATATTAGAAGCAAGCATATGAATGCTATATACCCTAATAAAAATAGGACTTATATGAATATAAAACTGGATGGACAGAAAGGCTGGTTGGAAAGACAAATGAGTTGGACAACAAGCAGGTCAAAAAATATAAAAAAATCCCTTAAGAAAGCTAGACAAAACTCAAAAGAATCTCAAAGAAAATCTAAAAAAAAAAAATCTCTAACAGAAGAAACAATGGACAACTATAATAACCCACATGTCAAGAACTATTATCCAGCAATAATCACTAAAAAACAAACTATAAAGCAAGATATATTTACAAAAACATAGAGTACACAATATTTTCAGCCTTAAGCCTTTAGGGGCTACAGTGTCCAAGTAATGGATCCAGTAAGCCTCTCTCTGTAAGAGAATTTTGGATCTATCTCCGCCACGATCCAAAGGAGGAATATGATCAATGCCAATAAATTTGAGCGTGGGCAAATGGTGTTGCATAGCTAAAAAATGTTTAGCTACTGGTTTTTCCGTTGCTTGATCATGATATGCAGTCATTATCCCCGAACGGTGACCTCTGATCCTATCACACAGAGTAAGGTCTGTCTTCCCGCTTTTTTGATTTCTCTCTCTCTCTCTCTCTCTCTCTATATATATACATACATATACATCAATATATATATATTTATATATGCACACACACATACATATACACATACACCAGGGGTTCCCAATTATTTTTGTTCTGTGGAACCCTTTGACATAGTCTATCAACATCGGCCCTACCCCAAAAAACAAAAAAACTATTTTGGGGAGAGAGGGGATCTGTGCAGAGAGGAAGGGGGACTGTTAAAGTGCAAGAGAGAGAGGGGATCTGTGCAGGGAGGAACAGGGACTCTGCAGGGGAGAGAGAGAGAGACTGACAGTGCAGGGGAGGAAGAGGGACTGTCAGGGTGCAGGGGAGGGGGCTGTGTAGGGAGGGCGATGCACTGTCAGGGTGCAGGGGAGGGAGGGGACTGTCAGGGAGCAGGGAGGGAGGGGGACTGTCATACTGCAAGGGAGGAAGGGGATCTGTGAGGGTGCAGGGAGGGGGGCTGTGCAGAGAGAAGCATACCTGGAGTCTCTGCCAGGCAGCTCTTCATCTTCTCTCTGCCAGCACTCCGCAGGACAGGAGAGCACAGGAAGTGACCTCACTTCTCTCTGTTTGTAACTGTGCTCACAAAACTTAATGCCCTGCGTTGAAAAGGAAGAAGTCCCCTTTTTTGGGGGCCCCTTACACAGCTCAAGGTCTGACCATGACCAGACCATGAGTATGTCCATAAGGTCCGCCCATAAGTCCACCTACTTGGCCCAGCCATGAGTTTGCTCACAGGGATTGAAGTGTATGTGTGGAGGGGATGTGTTATATGTTATTGTAAAGGATTTAAAATGTGTGTGCCCATGGAATGTAGTGTATAGAGATACCAGTTTGTGTAGGAGATGTAGTGGATGCAGTGTTTGTGTGTAAGGGATAGAAAGCGGTGTATGTTTGTGTGTAAGGGATGCATTGTGTGTTTCTGTGTGTGTGTGTAAAGGGTGCATGGTGTAAATATGTGTTTGTATGTTTAAGGGATGCACTTTGTTTTTCTGTGCATATAAGGGGTGCATTGAGTGTGTGTCAGGGGTGCATTGATTGTGTGTAAGAAGCAGTTTGTGTTTGTGTGTAAGGAATGCATTGTGTGTGTGTGTGTGTGTGTGTGTAGGTATGCATTGTGTGTGTGTAAGGATATATTGTATGTGAGTAGGGATGCATTATAGGTTTCTGTGTGAGTAGGGATGCATTGTATGTTTATGCACGTGTGTGTTTGTAGGGATGCATTGTGTGTTTCTGTGTAGGGATGCATTGTGTATGTGTGTGTAGTGTGAAAGAGAGGGTTTGTGGAGTAGGATAGGGTCTGCGTCTTGCCAGGACTTTGAGGGGAGCAGCTCTTTATTTTTATTATTATATTTAGTTTGTTATTATATCATTTTTTTGTATTTTGCCTTTTATGTTTTGTGTCTTACATCCCTCTTTAGTGTATCTATTAAAATAACCTTTTGTGTCTCTTATCTACCCTCTTTATATGTCTCCTACATCCTACCAACCCCTTTGCGTGTCTTACTCCCCCCAGACCCTTTGTTTCTTTTACTCTTCCCAGCTCTTGTGTGTGTCCCTTTCACCAGGGCCAGACTGGCCCACCGAAATTACTGCCAGTATGGCTGCACCGGTGCCCACACGTTGGGAGGCCTATCGCGTGTCCCATGCACTTAGGGCCACCTGCTGGGTATTTCTTACCAAGGGCCAGGTCAGGCACCGCAACCCTTTACGTGCGTGACCGGGCCCCTGTAGTGTTGGCTGTCTGGGAGGAAGCGACAGCCGATTGCTTCCTCCGAGCTATAAGGCGAGAGAGTACCGCGAGGCAGGAGGCAGCAGCAGGCAATGAGGCAGCAGTGGGCAGTGACCCATATCAGCCTCAGTCAGCAGTAACCTCAAAAAGTAATCCTCCGGCAATGCTGCCATATAAAAGTGCCACGTCATAATTATTCACTGGATTACAGGTATAAGGAGGGGGAGGGAGTAACTGAAAGAGGGAAGGAATGGAGATGAACACTTCTTGCAGACATGGCCTGTAAAAAAAAAGAAAGAAAAAGAAGCTCTGTATGTCTGTCACCAGCGCGCTGTGTGTGCGCTTATGGCTGTTGTACTTTATGCAAAAAATTCAGAACAGAGATCCGGGCTGCCTAAGTCAGGTATGCTACTGGTGTAACTAGCTCCTTACACACAAGTGCAAATACTGTATCTCTGGATGTGCAGCTCTTCAAGCAAAAACAATGTACGTACAGACTCATATCACCATGACCACTTCTAAGAACAGTTTCCAGAGGCTCTATTTAAATTTATGCTTTCCTGTGGTCACCTCCAAAGGGGCAGACTGAGAAAACAGAAGTGAACTGAATGAACTGGTTTGTTGAGCTAGTAAATTGACCCATATGTTTTTTTTATTTTTTTTTATTACACTCCTATATATGTGAACATCTTTCTATTTGTTGTCTTTGCTGCCCATCTTTACTTTTAAATTTGCACTGATAAAACATTTGTTTTTGTTCAATGCAATCATTAGACTCATTCGGGAAGTCCTTTTGCCATGTAGCTAGATATAATCTATCTACTCTTTCAGTAAAGGGTTAATATTTAGAATAATGTTCAGGTCAGTTTAATGAGTCTAGTTCCAGGAATTAGATTTTCTATTTTTATGTTTGTAGTTTAAGTGATTTTAAAATGTGATTTTAAAATTGACAAAGTCTTGACTTTCAGTATAATAATAATAATAATAATAATAATAATAATAAAAAAGAGAAACCAATAAAACAGGTTTTAAATGTATTCCTATTGTTCTTTCTTTGTACACACGTATTGTTTTCCAGTGTGCATAGAGAAGGGAAATGAGCACTCCCCCTCCTTTAACCATCACCAAAGCCCAGCCTTGTGTTTACTTGTTGCTAAGCAGTAAAATCTCCTGGAAACCTTGTGCTGTCTGAGTGTATCTGGATGAACACTGATACAAGCATAGCGACTGGTGGCTGATTACACATTTCTAGTTCCCTAGAGCTTCCATTACTGCACCCCAAAGATGAGCAACAGCAGCTTGAGTTTTGACTCAGATCATCCTGCTTCACCTGGCCCCCCAAGAGTGGACCCAACATATTCAAGCAATCGTATTGATGTGAACAGCAATGCAGCTTTTCGTTCTGTCTCCCAAAATACACCAATGTTGAGAGATGACGCCGAGGTACATTTTAAAGTTTGCTTTATAACTATAAAACATTACTCCTGCCTGCTCCGCATTACCATTAACTCCATAGATGCTCAGTTATATTATGGGAAAGTAAAGAAGTCCCTGGTGGAATTGAGACAGTAAAACTTTCATATCAATCTACCTAATTAAGGGATAAATCTATATTTATTAATTATTGGTATTTATAAAGCGCCAACATATTCTGCAGTGCTGTACAATTATGGGAGAACATACAATATACATATACAAATACAAAAGGTAGTGCTTGGCTAGATAGCCTGTGAGCTTACAATCTAAAGGATTTAAAATATTGTTAGCATAGGACCTTACCAAGTTTTATTGTTTAAAAAAAATAAAAAAAAAATCATAAATATAAACTTGTATTTTTTTTTTATAGATATTCCATGTATAATTGGTTTACTACTAAATTACTACTTATGAACACAATTGTGTAAAGAATAAGAGTCATGGGTCATTATAGAAGGAACAAAATACAAATAATAATATTTAATAAGACCTGTTTATTGTGAAATATTGTTTTATGTTTATGTAAACATATATTATGTTGTATGGTCATTGAATATATGTATGGTTTAATTCGTTTGTTTGTAAGTTTAAAAAAAATTCTTAATAAACAATATTTGAAAAGGATCTTCCGCGGTTTGCAAATACATATAAACGGAAAAAATAATTACTTTCTGAATTTATTTGCAAGAGAAGTGAAACGACATATTGATTTTACTGGATACATAAGGCTGCTCTGTATATATTATATCAAATCAGCTCTGATAAATGATATGCAATTATTAAAAAAGAATGTACTTGAAGGATTGTCATCACAATATAATTTCAGAGTATTTCATAAAGATATAATCTTTATAAAATACTCATACTGATTGTGCTGGCATTTCACTGAAATGTCCAAAGTTATCAAATTATATCATAAGTAGTATAGACAACTTAGGGCCAAGGTGTCTTAGGGCCAAGCTTGAGGCTGGTAGAATTTAACAAGAGGTGGAGCTATTATTACATTTTGTCAGTTCCCACAGCCATAGCTAGTAATAGCTTCAGGAAAAGGGCATCCTCTTGCATGTCGGTTGAGGATGACACAGCATTGACTAAGCCTAAGAGCTGTCATAAGCACTAAACTTGTTGTGTGCATATAGTGTTCCTTTAACGTAAGGGTGAAAAAAATTACCATGGGGAAAAAAAAATCCATAGCAACACATGCAACTTTTGCCAATCTATGAGATCATATTCCCTGTAACATATTCCTACTGTCGGTACAAACCTCTTACAAAGATACACTAATGCTCTAAAAAAAGAGAAGAGTCCCTATATTTTCCTTCACTTTTGAGTTCTGGAGTGTAATAATAATAATAATCAGAGTTGGGATTCCCAAACCCCATTTCTCAGGTCCAGAAGGTGCCCAATCCCTTTGGCCAAAAAATTTATAGTAGGGCGTCCAATAGACATCTCTCTCCCTAATACCTAACAATAGAGCCCAAGGGTTCACAATTCCTATGGTTCCAACTAACCCAAGGTTGCCCAGTTCTTCAGGTTCTAAGTAATGACCCTAAGTCTTAATGACTATTAATCCCACTAACTAATGAAATATTATAATGCCAACATATACTTATAGGATTATTTACTTAAGTGGATTCAAAGAGAATTTAACATTTAAAACCACAGTAGCTGAACTGAAAGCATAGCTGACTTTATCCAGAGATCTCCAGACCCCTTGTAATCGTGTGATATAAGGTTTAACCAATATGTAGGCCCAGAACTGTTGTAAAATCATGGTACCTATTTTAATTATCCTTTACATGGGGTGAAAGAAGGATTGAGGACCACTCATTAAGCCCCATCTGGTAATATTAGGGTCACAGGGGACTCACCGTTCTTTTTATAATTTTATTGTTATATTTCAATAGAAAATGCTCAGCGTGAGGGAGCTGACCTGCTCTCCATATAGTATGTATCATGGACAAGCAGTTATTAAATTGATGTTTGTTTCCATTCAAGTGGCTGAGGCAGGTTTTACATTTAAAGAGATAGATACAGTATATACATATAAAGTGTTCTGTGTATATATCTAGGGGCTTAAACCTATAATGGAAATCTCCCCTTACCCACCAATATACAAACAGAAAAAAATAGGTAGATTTAGGGTGAAATCCACCAGCAACTTCCTAAGTGGAGCATTAATAATTAACACTTACCCCTATAGCACTATAGAACCTGCTGAGGACATTTTATTTATTTACCTTGTTTTTTTACTGTGTATTAATAAATTTATCCGATTGGATCTTCAGTCCTGCTGGCGATTGCCTCCTACACAAGAAGGGTGGTTAACAGCCTTTTAACCTAGAGCCAGGTCTTACTGACTCTTTTTAAGGTGAGCAGGTTTTATCTCACTTATTTTATACAAGAATCTGTACATATTGCACTAGGAATTTAGCTTTGTGCTTTATTCCTGAGTTTTACAATAGGAATCAAGATGAGGGAAGGTGTGACCTTAGTACACCAAAGCCAGAGGCGTAACTAGAAACCATGGGGCCCAGGTGCGAAAATTGCCTTAGGTCCCCCCCATACGTCCCAGCCCCCCCCCACACACATGGAGACAAACACATACTCATGCAGACACACATACATGCACACACACACACACACAGATACAGAGAAACAAACATACAGACACACATACACTAACACACACCAAAAATGTTTTAGTCATCCTCCTGTTTTCGACATTTTAGGTGCAGGAGGGTGATTTTCCCTGGGGTCCAGTGGCTGGCTCCAGCTGATGGGAGTCAGAGTGGGAACTTTGACTCCCTCCTCTACTTCCTCCTCCCGTTCGGGCTCAGTGATTGCTGGGAGGAAGTGACCGGGCAGTCACTTCCTCCCAGTTCTGATGTCATTACAGGGGGACCGTTTGCGCTATTAAAGCGCCGACTGAGCCCCCTGGATATTCGTTGCCTTTGGGTGGCCCTAACAGCATGGGCCACCCAATGGGCCCCTGAACGCATGGCCCCGGCAGTAACACTGGAGTGACAGGCCTGGTCGCATCTGCGACTCCTGTGATCGCCATAGTTCTGCCACTGACCAAAGAGATTGTGATCTGAGCCAGTCCCTTATATGGCTCTATTTTTGTGAGTGTGTATATTTTCTATTCATACACTACAAATTGTTAACATACTACACCATTAGATTTTTCTCTTCCCCCCCCTATGTTTGTGTAAACTACTGTCAATCAAACTATAGTAGTAAGTGTTAATTATTAGTGCTCCAATTAGGAAGTTGGTGGTGGATTTCACCCCCAATCTACCTACTTTTACGTGTGATATCTTAAGCTATCTTAAGTTGGTAAAAGTTGGGTAAAAACAACTAACATGTCAGCCACTTTAGCATGTAACAGCTGGTTGGTAAAACTTACCTAGGCCTCAATTTAATAAAACGTGTACATTTGGGCTTTGTCCTTAAGGGGTTAATATTATAGGATAAACTTCCTTGTTTTTATTATATCTTTTATATATATTATATATTTTAAATTTATTTTAATATTTTGGAAACAAAAATATTAAAAATAAAATATCCAAAAAATATGAAATCATTTTAAAAGCTAATCCAAAAATATTAATTAGAGGCCAAACCTGCAAATAGATTATTGGAACTACATACTATGCAAATGTCCGATGTCTCTTGTTTCATGCAGTGGATGGAACATTCTGCTGCCCTTGTACTTTTCACTGATCAGTATCCCTTCTTTTAATGTACAATACAAATATGGTTTTATGCCAAGCTGTGACCCTTTCTTATAATTGAATTGCTTATTTGTGCTTTTATATGTTTTGAAGGCACAAGAACAGTATAATCTACCTAGGAGAGCTGTAGAATTCATGGATGATTTTACATTACACCAGAATCCTGGAAGGTGAGAGAAATAGAGTTCCTTATTTAGCTTACACTTGTATATAAATTGATTTCTGTTTACCGTTAATATTTTTTGCTTTATTTTGGTGGCCAAGCAATAACATTGCTGGACAGCCTATTCCTTTTATTAATCTATTTTTATTGTTATTTGTCATAACCTCATGAAACTTGGAGCAATTGTAGAACTATGGTGCACTACATCTTTTGCCACATAAAAGTCATATGGTATGGCTGCTTTAATGGTTATGGTGACCAAGGGTGGGACTACTTTTCTCAGTATTTTTTCTCTTCTTGACACTTCTTGGCACTGGCTGGAGCTACCACCGTCAAGAAGTGCCAATCTCTCTGCGGCCATCAGTGACAGCTGCAGGGAATTGACTCTGTCTAAGGATGATCCTCCATAGATCCAAGTGCTGTATCGTCGTGATGATACACGCGCATGTGCGAGAGTATAGCCGTGATGTCAGCTCCTGGCAATAAAGTGCCAGGAGCAGAATAGGGCCAGCTGGAAGATGATGGTGGTGGCATTATCTTTCCCTGCCCCTCCGACCACCGGACCCTCAGTGGTAATGTCATGTCGGAGGTCTTTGCTAATTCTGTAGTTCCACTTTAAAGCCCAATAAATCTAAATAAAGATTGGAAAATAGTTTTAATCATGTTTTTTATGGCCAGAAGATCCAGTTCCTGCAGTCACGCAATATGCCTCTTGTGATGTTGACTCGTCCAATCCAATGCTAGTCATTGAGACCAAAACAACTGGTGAACCGTCGCGAGGGTCACAGGTGCCCAAGACTCACTGATGCACCAGGGAGCAAAGGCTAGCCCGTCTAGTCCAATGACACAAAATAAATACTGTTGCTGAAAAGGCTGAAAAACTTAATGCTGGTCATGATTGCAATGTATCGGAATACACAGTACATCACTGTTTGCTGTGTATGGGGCTGTGTAGCAACAGACCAGTCAGTGTGCCCATGATGACCCCTGTCCACCGCCAAAAGCGCCTTCAATGGGGATGTGTATGTTTATATATTTGAGCACTTTGGAATTACACCTATAGCGCTACACTCTTACCAAGTAGTGGGAACGTTTCTACACTGACCCACTCGTGGTTACTTGTTTGTTTTTTGCATGTCGAGAGTGGGTTTTGGAGTACCCTTTGAGTGTTTTATAGCAGCTTAACGAAATTATTTCTCACTATACAAAAAAGCTCCACTAATTTCCACACCTTGTTTCTGTGTTGTTCCAATTGAAGAATGCTGCCTGGCCCGATGAATGACGTTTTCTTTTAGAACACGTGGGTGGACATGTGTGTGTCTTTTACCTGGGGAAACCTACCTCCTGTAGATGGCAGTAGGATGCACTTTGGGAGTAAAACAGGCTGGAGGAGACAGTGTTATGCTCTGGGCAATGCTTTGGGAAGCATTGGGTACTGGCATTCATGTGAATGTTTCTTTGACATTTACCACCTACTTAGAGATTGTTGCAGACCACGTATCATATTGGATGGCAGTGGTGTTCCCTGATTGCAATGGCCTTTTTCAGCTGATAATGCACCCTGCCACACTGCAAAAATTGTTTCGGAAGGCACCATAACTACTTTATCCCATTCAATTGATTGAGCCTGGAGCCTTTTGGTGCCCTCCCACTATTCATAGAATGTGACGGCAGGTTAGTTTGCCCAATTTTCTAAATACTTTCAATAGTCCCTAGCCTTATCTTATAGCTAGGATAGAATTATGCCTATCAAACGCATGCTTAAACTCCTTTACCGTGTTAACCTCTACCGCTTCAGCTGGAAGGCTGTTCAATGCATCCACTACCCTCTCAGTAAAGTAATACCTCCTGATATTTTTATCTCCCTATACAATCCTCCCTATACAACCAAGCATTCTGCTAGCATTTCCTGCTGCTCTGTTACATTGTCTGCCTACTTTTAAGTCATCTGAAATAATTATCCCTAAATCCCTTTCCTCAGATATTAAGATTAGGACTCTATCAAGTATTCTATAGTCTGCCCTTGGGTTTTTACGTCCAAGATGCATTACTTATCCACATTAAATGTCAGTTGCCACAGATCTGAACATTTTTCTAGTTTACGTAAATCATTTTCTATTTGCCTTATCCCTCCTGGAACATCAACCCTGTAACATATCTTATTATCATTTGCAAAAAGACCTTACCATCAAGACCTTATGCAATATCACTAATAAAAATATTAAAGCAATGGGTCCAATTACAGATCCCCGAGGTACCCCACTGGTGACATGACATGTGCATAGTCGTCCCCTAGGCATATTCCTAATAAATCCACCATAAAAACACCCACCAACGAGCTCAAACATACCAAACCAATGCAAACATAACTATTACTCCTGAACTTGAACTTTCCCCTACTTACCAAGCCAACATACCCCCAATTTTTTCTATCCATCCCCACCACCGCACAGAGCTTTGACCACCTTAATGCGGTGACCATATTCCACAGGTGGCTTTAGACGAGAAGCTATTGAAAACGCTCCCCACCTGGATAATCTGACATGCAAAATTCAAGCGCCCCATTAACGACTGCAGCATGCATAAGGTCTCACCACGGTCTGTTACAGCTGCTCGGACACTGGCAATGAAGGCCTCCACATCCCGATCTGCATCCATGATCCTGAAAAACAAAAGAGAAAAACTCCACACCAATGTGTTGCAGCAACAACAAGTGGGAATTAAATTGAAAAGGAATTCCCCCTAAAATGGCCACTATTTATGTGGTTCTAGGCCAACCCATTCCCAAATTCCCTAATCCACTCCCCCTATCCATATGCCTGCCTCCTAGCTAAGTCAAGGCCCACTCCACTTAGCTTTGCTGTTTCCTGGGCTTCAAGCCAATGCTTTGAATACACTCCATTGACTACAACCCTCTGTTGCCTGTCACTCAGCCACTGCCTTACCCATTCAACAATATTGTAATCCAAACTTAAAGATTGCAGTTTATTGATAAGCCTTCTATGTGCAACAGTGTCAAAAGCCTTACTGAAATCTAGGTAAGCAATGCCTACTGCACCAGCCTGATCTATTATTTTAGTTACACAATCAAAAATATCAATAAGATTAGTTTGGCATGACCTCCCTGAAGTAAACCCATGTTGTTTCTGATCTTGATATCCATGTGATTTTAGATGTTCAACAATCCTATCATTTTAGTTCAGTGTTAAGTTATTTTCTAATGATTTAATACTGAATGAGAGTCGTCTTCCTTTTCCATGGGTATATCTTTAATGATTAATCATAAAGAGCAGCATGGGTTGTAGAGAACTTATATATGAATTGTTTACATATATCTGGAATTAACATATTCCAATTAAATGTATACTTCAAGCACAATTATTACTACAGTTTGTAGTACCGGTAGTTATCGTACTATGAACTTATGGGTTTAGTCTCACAATTGTTTTGTCAACATTTTCAAATGGGTTTGACAAATTTAAAAAAAATGTATGTACATGAAAAACTTACCCCTTAACTTGTGAACAGACTTTTCCTGCCCCTCTTCTTCAGCTGCCATGAGCCAACGTCAGTGCTGTACTCTCGCGCATGTGAAAGAGTACAGCATTGAGGTCTATGGAGGATCCTGCTAGACTGTGCTATCCTTCAGAGGAAGCGCTCTAATTCCCTACAGCCGTTACTTGTGACTGCTGGGGAAAATAAGAAGTTGACAGCGGTTAGCCTTTTTGTCAAGCTTGTGAAGTCCCAACTTTGTCTTAGTATATCTTTTGACTGGATTGGAATTTCAGTAAAATTCAATTCAACTGTTAATCTGAGTATTTCATAAAGATTCAATATTTAAGAAATGCTCATTGTTGATATGGGGTGAAAGAGCTGCTTTAAAGTGATAGTTTTGCAAGTTGAAGTTGTGGGCTTTGGTTGCAAAAATCCCTCTATTATTTTTAAGACCGACACAAATTTGAGGGACTTGTCCTTAATAAGTAGAAATGGCTATATCCCTTTAAAATTTTAAATACCATTTAAAATGATTTGCTATTGTCTAATGCAAAATATATATTGTGTTTCTTCTAGAAACAGGAGCAGAACAGAACTATTAAAGGTGAGTAATTTAGTTCATGTTCCCATACTATTGGCGCCTAATATAATATATTCTCCAGTTTAGCCTTCATATTTGTATCAGCAACAGTGACCTAACAGCTATCTCTATGTATTTTACTTTGTATACAATGTAGTTACACTAAGCTTGGAATGTTGCCAGGTTCATTCTCTGTGGAAGGCTGAATAATATTTCTCATACATGTTGCTGAATACTTTTTAAATAATATATGTGTTAACCCCTTAAGGACACAGCTTCAGAAGCTGGACATACCCTTAAGGACACAAGCAATTTTTGCATTTTTTGCTTTGTGTTCAACTGCAATTTGCATCTCTCTCATTTATTGTACCAACACATATTATATACCGTTTTTTAGACAACAAAAAGGGCTTTAAATTGATGTGACATATACATATATAAATTCTCATTTATTACAAAAAAATGCAAAATAATTGGGGGAAAAACAAAAAAATGCTTTCCACCCCAAGTTTTGGCAATAATAATGTGTGCATAATATGTCCAGCTTAGGAAAAGTAATTCAAAATCAATTCATCTATGTGTCTTGATTTACAAAGTTTATAATATGTGTAGGATTTCAGTTTATTTTGAAAGTTACAGGTCACAAACTACAAGGTCTAAAATAAAATTTCAGTGTGAAACAATTTTAGAAGTTGGTATGTTTGTCTTGGAAGTTTAATACCCATTACAGAAAACAAAATTGCCACACAAAAGTATATATTTATATAAAGTAGACATCACAGGCTATTTACCTAAGGTTATTGTGACACGTTTTATGTAGCCATTTCACCGCCAATCTCTGCTAAATATTGGAGAAAAATTTATTTTTTTCTCTATTTTGGCATATACACATATATCAAGGTTTTTGTAATGTGTATTTCGTAAACCTAGTGTGTGCTATCCCTGTACAGATCCCCATATAATGTTCAGCTACATCTGCTGAGTACAACAATACCCCCATTGTATACCTTTGCCTCTATTCTGTGAAGCTACAATGCCATATAGGAGACCATGCTATTTCAGTTTCTATAGTTGGAATTTTCATAGATGGCCAAATGTTTGTTTTTGTGGCATGATAGCCATTTGACTGTTCAAATAACCCCACAAAGGCCTTCCATTTGAGAAAAAAGACACTCCAGGGTATCTTATTAGGCATATATTATACATTAACTTGCCACCTTTTTTTCACCAATTTATTTCAAATTATGTGGTGAGAAAAATTTTTTACATTTTTTTACATACATGTTGCATTTTCACTGGGTATTTCTTACATTTGATAAGTGCCACTGTCATAAATTCCCCCTATGTATGCTCAGTTACCTCTTCTGAGTAAATCAATAAGCCCAATGTATGACCTAGACACTATGTTGTGAAGTTACAGTGCTGTGAAAGAGACGTGACAAGTTCAGGTTTTTAAGTGTGAATTTACATGGAGGGTTTTAATGGGTCCATATTCTATTTTGAAATATGTTAGCAGGATGCTTTTTCCAACTACCCCAAAAAAGCATACTATTTCTTAAAGAAGACATACAAGGGTATTTCAAAAGGCAAATTTTGAACCTTTGCGTGGGATCATTTTTCCGCTAGCTTGTATCAAGTGTAGTTGTAATAAGCATTTTTTTTTCTGCCTTTTTGACACACAGTGAGTTTGTACTGTATATTTTGCAAACCTTATGTTTGCTACGGCTTTATAATACTTTATATGTTGCTCAGCTATGTAGTCTGAGCACAGCAATACCCCCATATGTAGCTTTGCCAGGTATATGTGGACCTTGAAGGGGCATATTTGAGACACAGCCATTTAAGATTTTTTACCGCACTTTGGAGTTTTCTTAAAAGGTTAATTATTCCAACTTCTCCATAAAGAAATAATTTTTCCGCTAGCTCATACCAAGTGTAGTGGTAATAAACATTTTTTTATGCCTTTTTGACAGACTCAATAAGTTTGTAATATATATTTTGCAAACCTTATGTCTGCTACAGCAGTATAACACACCATATGTTGCTCCGCTGTGTCATCTGAGTACAGCTATACCGCTGTATGTACCTTTACCAGGTAAATGACAACGTTGAAGGGGCACATTTGAGACACAGCCATTTAAGTTAGAATTTTTACGCTGCGTCCATGCCCCACTTTGGAATTTTTTTAATAGGTTGTGTTTTCTAATTACTTTACAAAGACACACCATTTCCTAAAGAAGACACTCCAGGGTGTTTCAAAAGGCATATTTGAAACCTTAGCCTGGTATCATTTTTTCGCTAGCCTGTAGCAAGTGTAGAGGTAATACGCATTTTCCCCCTTTTTGAAATTTTTTCCCCCTTTTAGCTTTTAACAACTTATTTTAGTATGTTAAAACTTTGTTTAAACGTTTCAGTTTTTTTTCCCACTTTTTATTGTTTTTTTTTAAAAATCTTTTAACCCCTAACTAGCCTAACAGTAAATCCTCTAATTTCCCCACTAACTTTTACCCACCCTAGCTAAATAAATACATATTTTAAAATATTTTAATTAATTAAATAAATGTAACCCCTGAGGATTAAAAAAATAAAAGTTAACCCTCAGGGGTTAAAAGAAAAAAATCAGATCACAGTGAAATACTGTGATCTGTATTTTGATCACTGCAGGCAGTGATCAAAGGGCAGGGAAGGGGTTAAATCACACGGGGAGAACGCCGCGTATAATGATACACACCTGGGGTAAGTCACTTTTCTATAATGCATATGTGTATATATTCAAGTTCATTTCACTTTGTAAATTGTCACTTTATCCTGAGGAAGGTCCCTGCGTGGACCGAAACGTCGATTTTTGTTACTAGATGAAATAAATAATTTATGCATGAGAAGACCATAAGTGCAGCCCATGCTTTCACTATTTAGGTATATATGTATATATAAACGTCCCAGAGAAATGCACTCAGAGGACTTGTAGTCTTGTGCAATATATCCTTTACTTGTGCAGAGATACATTCAACATTTCAGTCCGCCTTGGACTTTTTTCACAAATAAAGGATATATTGCACAAGACTGCAAGCCCTCTGAGTGCATTTCTCTGGGACATTATATTGGGGCACAAAATAGCACAGAGGAAAGAACAGGACAGGAACATGAGTGCCAAGCCCATGTTTCATATATATATATATATATATAACATACAAAATACACAATCAAGCGCACTCGCCTTTTCACTAAACAATTATTTAAATCTCACAGATTGTAATAGTTTTACTTAAAAACACCTAACCTAGGCAAAAGTAATTGGAGTTTAGTTTCATTATATGATCATATATTGCATAAGCCTGCCACAACGTCAATGTACCCCATTCTTGGCAGGTCCTACTCTAGCAGCCTAATGCTAGCTTTGAAACAATCACCTTTATTCCAGAGCCTTGCGGGTCTGCTGGTGCTGGCGCTGGAGCCAAACACAGTGCACAAACATGTATTCCTGACCCTATAGTGTTAAAACCATCATCTAGCCCCCCTGAGCCCCCTTTTCCTCCCTAAATATAGTAAAATCTTACTTCTATTCAAGTCTGCAGCTGCTGACTCTGCCCCGTCTGCTTTTGACTTGCCTGTTGACATCATGAGAAGTGGTGGTCTAAACCAATCACAATGCTTTCCCGTAGGATTGGCTGAGACTATCAAGGAGGCAGATCAGGTATAGAACCAGCACAAGTCAAACACAGCCCTGGCCAATCAGCATCTCCTTATAGAGATGAATTGAATCAATGCATCTATATGAGGAACGTTCAGTGTCAGCATGCAGAGAGTGGAGACACTGAATGGCTGTGCCGCTCACTGTGCAGCACTGCCCCAGAAAGCACCTCTAGTAGCTATTTGAGGAGTAGTCAGTGGAGTTATCCCTAGACTGTAATGTAAACACTGCATTTTCTCTAAAACAGTGTCTGCTACAAAAAGCCTGAAGGGAATGATTATACTAACCAGAACAAATACAATACGCTGTAGTTGTTCTGGTGACTATAGTGTCCCTTTAATGGCTGTGCGGTATGGTTTTTAGGAACCACCGAGATCAGAAGACAGTGACCCACTCTGTGATTGATAAGGAAACCAATTCACAGCCTAATGCAGTGTTCATTCTGCAGGACACATGTTCTGATCTACACATATCAGAAGAGATAAGGATGAGATTCTGTCATCTTGCTCAAGCTTTGTACGTTTCCTGTAATCTAATAAAGTTACAGCGCTATTTCTGGCTGATCAGCTGTTACAAAAGACTGCTGAGGCTAAATTCAGCCAATCATTTCAGGAGGGTACGGAGCAAGTACAAGATTTGAAGACAGGGGGTAGTGGTTCATACACAGCACTCCTGTTGAAAACAATGGGAAGGACAGAATTTTTTGGGGGGGAAATCTGATCTCCACAACATCCTGGTCCCTGCAGTAGCTGCTGATTTTGCAGCAAAAGAGAAAAAAAAGTAAATGTTTACCAAAGCAAAAACTGGTGCTATTCAGAAGCAAAGTACTAAATAATCATCAATAGAATGTCTCTCACAGGGTAAGTCAATAAAGTGAGAATTCAAAGTGAATTTAAAATTTAAGTTGAAAATAGTCAAACTGAAAGAATTTCGTCTGAAACAGTTATGCTATCACTCTGGCCCTAAACTTTAAATGCACTTTGAATTCTCACTTTTGTACCCACAATAGCACCTGTCTCACTTGATGATATCCGCTAGAGTCATTAAAAACTGGGAGTCAGCTCGAGCTGGGGGAGTCCTTTCAAACTCCTATTAATAGGTCCCTTATCCTTTATCTACAATTCTACATCTAGTAATTATTTAGTTTAAATTAAAATGACTACACAGACCTTCGTATTTCTAGGCAATCTAATAATACATAATAGCCCATAGCTGTGTTTGTGCTTGTTGTAATTGGTTACTAAACAGCTTGTGCACTGCTTTGTGTATGTTTTGTAACCACCAACCAAGTGGTTTCATTTACATCTCCTTATCAATATATATCTGTAACACATCATTGGTTACCATAACTGAAGATTGGTATCTAACAGACAATCTAGCTAAAAGATTAGGAACCCAAGACACTCCTTCCTGAATTGAACTACCACTCCCATCATTCTTAGCTTTCCTCATTTTACACATTTGAAAAATCTAGTTACACACGTTTAGGGTTGTGCAAAAACAGTAACCTATGTATTCTCCGATGTACACAATTTCCAGTGTAACCCTGTCATATATCACATAAGCATTTTGTAAAAGGTGTGTGCATTCATTTTTGAGAGTGTCACTTTCACTTGGTCACTTTAACGTGCAATAAGCAAATACCACATAGATAGTGTACCCTACTGATCCATCTGACTCTACAAGTTCTGACAATTAGCATACTCAGTTACTAAATCGTCTTATTGTAAATGTGCTCATATATATTAGGAGCCCGTTGCATTTACCTATGCTAAAGTAGGTACGTACTGTATCGATACCAAAGGCATGGACAACTGTGAGACAGGCCAGTATAATGGCCATCATGTATTGGAACTCCCACTGTTAGTAAACTTCAGATAACAACGGTTTGACTCCATTTTGACTCGCAGCAACAGTGGACTCATTTTTTGACTCACAGCAACAGTGGACACCCTTGTCTAACTAAGCTTGTACAATGTAAGATATACATTTATCTAGTGACATGAACAAGATATTTTCATTAAATCCACTGCAAACTTAAAATTCTTGTGACGCAATAGTGGAAATAATTGAATCCAATAATGTGCAGTCAGGCTATTCGATATCAGTTCCCTCTTTTTCATCAAGACTTATGACATTGCATGGTTGGAGATGATTAGTATTATTATAATTAATCTTAATTAATTTTGCATATTGATGGGGAATATACATTTGTAGTCTAATATCAATTATTTTAGTAATTATTTGACTGGGCATGTTTATGAACTTGTGAAATATTACAAAAATACAAAATTCGATCTAAACACAGTTGGGCTGATTAATCTAACAATGCAGTATCAAATCTTTATCAGTATACAGTTTAATAAGTAATTGGACAGCAGTTCGAGAAAACTTTAGAGTTTTATACATTTTACTGCTCTTACCTTAATGTGCTTGTGATTGGCCAACATTGTTTTGGAAGTGTTAATTGAATAATTTAAAATGTTGCCTTTGATATATAATTTTGCCAGAGCACCTATGATCCCCTACATCTGGATATCCCTGTAACTCGCGAGCAGTTAAATCACTATCGGAGAATTGCTGAAAATGCCCACAGTGAGCTGGCCGCTCTACATGTAAAATATGAGAGCACACAGTCAGAGGTAAGTTTTGATTACAGCAACATATTTTCATTATATGTACAAATATACTTGTGATGAATAAAGTACAGAGAGCTCTTTTTGGACCCACATAAAGTTTGCTGTGCGGTATATGTTTTTTGACCAAAACATTAAACACGTTATTTAAGATGACCAAAGGACAGAATCACTTTGTATAAAAGCCAGAGCGAGAGAGAGAGACAGAGAGAGAACACGATAAAGAACAATAGCAGCCAGTGGGCAAATAATTAAACAGAGAGGTTTTACACCTCCCCATGCCACGTGTGGGGACATGTCTACCAAACAGCGATTAGCCAGTGGCCACTTGACAATAAAAGACTAGAGACTGGGCAACCATTAGTGTCCAATTACGGTCGATGTGCCTCAACAGCCATTGCTGTGTCTCCATTGGATAAGGGCTTCAAATTAAAGGACAAAATAAATAAATAAATAAATAAATAAATTATAATAATAAAAAAAAAATAACACTAAGTCCAGATGCAACATGTAAAATGATAAAAGTGCAGCAAATCCATTGTTTTCCCAGTGAGGGATCTGCACAGACTGAATTTGCATGACAGGACAAGCCCTTATTAGGGCTTTCTCACAATTTTAAATATCTAATCAGTGAGAGCTCAGAGTCCTCTGAGTTATCTTAGGACATGCACAGGTATTTTCAGTTCAGATCTTCCTGCCATGTCCTCCCGCCGTATGAAGAAAGCTGCCCAGTCACTAGTCTTTTATTACAGGGATGGTGCATGGGTTCATGGGAGAGGTGTAAAGCTGTCATTGTATTAATGTGGAGGTCATATCAAACCCCTAAAGCCTTTTTATTATTATTTTTATAATGGCCTACAGGTTTAGTCATTAAAAAAGGCTGATAAATGTGTTTCCGATTTACATTTCTAAGACAATTTTTAAGCTATCAGCCCATTTATCATATTCAGCTGCTAGAATTTAATCTAGCATTAAAGGGACACTATATTCATTAAAACAACTTTAGCTTAATGAAGCAGTTTTGGTGTATAGATCATGTCCCTGAAGTTTGGTGTATAGATCATGTCCCTGAAATTTTAGGAGTTAAATCACCTTTGTTTCTGTCCATGCAGCCCTAGCCACACCTCCCCTGGCTGTGACTGACACAGCCTGCATGAAAAAAAATATTTTTTACTTTCAATCAGATGTTACATACTCATACATATCTCACACTCTCTAAATTGAACCTTAATCTCACACAGGATGCTCCTGTAGGATCTAGTAAGCTATTAACAGTGCAGGGGATAAGACATTGTAAATTAAACAGAATTTGCTATAAAAGCAGTATAACCATTAGATGATGCTTTACAGGAAGTGTTAAGGGATGCTGTGCAAGTCATGTGCAGGGGTGTTTGTCTAGGGTGCATAAACAAAGTGGTTTAACGCCTAATTGAGCAGTGAGACTGCAGAGACATGATCTACACACCAAAACTGTTTCATTAAGCTAAAGTTGTTTTGGTGATTATAGTATCCCTTTAAATCCAGTAAAAATTTGATAAAAATATCGGCGAAAATAGTCAATATTGATCGCCGATTCTCAGCCAATAAAATGAAATTGAGGCCATGGTACTGTATGTGTTTCAGTAGGCAAACTGAGTAATTAAAGTTCACAAAAATGTCCATATGCAAGACCCGCAGAAAATGAGTGTTCTTAGAAGGAAAATGTTTCAACTGTATTAAATCAAACCACTTTATGGTATGATTTACCTGCACCATAAGAGCAAATAGAACAAGTAGAAATAGAAATAAGTGCTCACTAAAATGAGGAGAGATAGGTGGACAGCAGTAAATCTCACTAACAAAACAGACAATAGCAAACAGGGTGATGAACCGCGAACCAAAAACAATAAGATTGAACAAAAATTGTTGATATATAACAGAAGATATGTTTACATCAGTTTATATTCAGTCTACATACGCAGCAATAGGATGATTTCTGTAACCTTAAAGGAAGAAGAAATGGACAAAAAAAATAATGCAATATAAAACAGTAATTTGGACTATTTGAGGTAGGTATATAGAGTGCTAACTCACAATTGGTTGAGCTATTAAGAGCTCTGCTGTTATGCGCCTGGACGGTACAATCCCCGTCTTTGTTTATTTGTAGCTCTGTTCTGTTGTTCTATCCGTCCAATATATATGGGAAAACACAATAGAGAGGTTTTATGGTGTAGTATGTAAGTACACAAAGTAAAAAATAAAAGGCAGTATCCTACTTACAATATTCAGAGCAATGGCCTGCTCCGGTGTGGAGAGCGTTGGTGGTATTATCCCTACCTAAGATATACAGGATACATCAGGAAATGATGATAGGAATGTATTGAATAAAATAAAAATAATAAAATGAAGATATACCTTTAAAATTATAAATACTTTATTATTAATTTTTTTTTAAATAATATATATATATATATATATATATATATTAAATTTGGAGTAGATTCTTCCAGTACCAACACTTTAAGAGCAAATCAATTGCTACAGTGGAGAATAGGGAAAAGGGAGTGAAAAGGGAGGCCTAATTGTGGAATTTGTCTGCCAAACAGTGGTGTCCCTGGAACATGTTAAGTTTAGGTAACTTCTGATGTTCCAGTTGCAGAGATGGATTAACAGAGGATTGTAGTTAAGTGACAGAATTGTGCAAAAAATGAAAAATTTTAGAACAATTCCCCAACTTTTCCCCAACTTGACTATGTAGTGCAGCAGGGGGTCTGACAGAAGGGGGGCAATTGTGGCTTGAGCCGCCGCCTTGTAGATGTCATGGTCGGCAGCCTCACAGTTCCATTCCTCTGTGGATTAAATAAGGATGTCTATTGGCAGAATACTGCTGGAGTGGGGCAGCAGGTAGGATTTTTGTGGTCTTTTGCTAGCCCACTAATGTGTTGGTTTATGCAGTGGCTGGCTGTTAGTGTTCTCCATTCCTAGGCTGGGCTTCTGATATTTCCAGAGTACGATGAGAATGCATATATGTTGTCCACGGAGGTATTTGTAAGATGGCTGTAGTAGGGATATATGATATTATGCCTTACAATTCTTGGAGCCTTGATCTGTCAAATCTATATATATTGATTCTGCTGTGTGAAAATTCCCAAAGCTTATGTTGTAATAAAAAAAAAATAATCACGTACAATTCTTTGGGAAGATAAACATCTTTCCCTACTGTAGTACTCGTCTCAAACCCAGGGAAGGCTGGCCGGTTTTGCATTTTTTGTGGGATGTGTATTATTGTATGTTGTAAAACCGTTTATGATACCGTTACCAGGGAAAGGGTTCAAACAATTATCTCCTTCACTTATGCACTTATTCAAGGTAATGTCTCTTGTCTGGCATCCCCTTCTTATTTAACGGATTTAATTCCTGCAACACATGAATTCAGTGCACTTTCATACACTATCTAACAGCACGTACAGGTGAAATACATTTCATGGTGAATTCTCTTCTACATCTGTTTCTGTTATTACCTCCTGTATCTGTCTATTCTCCTTTCACTTTTCTACCCTGTCTTTTGTTTCAAATTGTTTTTATTTTGCATGTTAAATGGTATCAGACATAGATCATTTGCGAAGAATTGATGCACTGTTGCCTTCGCAGAGGCACAATAAATCAGATAATAGACATATAGTGCGTTTGGTTGCCTGCGCAGAGGCATAAAAGGCTACAAATATAGGCATCATTTGATCAGCCGCGTCTAACCAATTTCGGCATAGTGCACTGCACAGAAATACTTAGTCTGGTTTGATTAATGGCAATTTACTTACACATAACTGTAATGCTTATAATAACAAGGTTTGTGAATTTATGTTGCTTAAAATTAATGGTTCTAGTAATACGGATTATCTGCATGTTTGAAGCTTAATTTAGAAAATCAAATAAAGTTTGCGGTCACATGTTAAGCTTGGATTACCTTTGCCCTCCGGCCTAAGTGCTTTGTACATGTTGAGAGAATTATGGTGTTGGATAGCATACATCAGTATCATGTAAAACATGGCCTGTATAGGTTAAGCGAAACAGCTAATTTGCATAATAATCATATGGCAGAGGCATGTACCGCAAAGCGTATTGTTGATCAGTTAAAACGGTCAATGCCTGGTAAGGCAAAAAGGTTACGTTGTGTGAACATATGTTGCGTATGCTTAGCAGTACCCATAATACAAATTGAATTTGCTTGGTTTACAGTTGCCCTCTGGCTTAGCGCATGTTGAGATAATTAGAATGATGAACAGCATATATTTGTGTTATGCAAAGCATTGCCTAAGTAAGCAGTGTGGAACAACACCTTTATGATCGTTAATTCTTTGTGTCTTGTGGCAGCGCCTAAACAATTATGGTGCAGGCGAGCAGTACTAAGAAATGCGGAAAGAGTAAGGATCAGTGTTATGGATACTTATATAGGGCGCAGCTCGCGGGGAGAGGGCTTTAACTGTTTAAATCAGTATAGCGCGCTGTGCTGAAGCCTCATTAATGGTCCCAAAAAGTTATAGCAATGCATTAAAAAATGCCTAACCGTTATACGCCCAGGTAGCGGTCAGAGCAGGTCTTCATAATGTGCGAGCTTTATATAGTTAATATTGTAACGTGCGTCATTTAACAACAGTTAACTAAGGCCCCTGAGGGAAACGTAAAGCAAATAATAACTGTTTTGTGCATATTAAAGCAACATCATACACTAACTAGAGCAGAAGGCTCCCAGGTGTTCTGTCCTCTTAACAGGTTATTATTGTGGAGCTTCTCAGGCGTTCAGACACGCAGGGAGGTCAGTTTGTATGGTCAGTCCCGTGATCTTTGCTGTGTAGTGAATTCTCCTGTCGTTAACAGCGTGTATCCACTCAGTCCACAAGCATTGGGGGGCCACAGATACAACCCTTCCGAAGGGGGGGTCCGACTGCAGATGCATTCGGGCTGATCCCAGGGGCGCCGGCATCCCCCTAGGTTGCGCCAAGCCTCCATCCGGGAGATCTGCAGCACAGCACGCACTTGGGGCCCACGGGTGTTACATCCACGGGACAGCTTCTGAAGGCAAGGCAGTACTGTTGGGGGCCGTTAAGTCCAGGGTGCGTATTGATCTTGTAGCGTAGGCAATAATCATCCCTTAACTTTGGGTGAAGATATCGGGCAGGCCGCGGTTAGGCAGTCTGTGCCCGTGCAGGAGGTCAGCGTGCACCATGGGTGGCTGCGTCCGTTCCAGGGCGTGCAGCCTCCATGTGGCCGGGATTACCCCTGCCGGCCAGGGGGGGAGGACGGAGCGGGGCAGCAGCTCTCGCCAGTGTAAATCTCCACCAACGTCCGCATGGCTGGTGTGCTTTTTCCTCCGGCCAGGCAATCAGGCGTCTGTTCTCTGTCTGCAGCTGTCCTCATGCAGGCTTATGCAGGTGTGTAGGCCAGGTTCATCAGTCTCGGTGTTCCCCGTGAATTTTTGGCCGTAGTCTGGTATCATATGGGTGCTTGGGTAGTACCCCATTGCGTTGAAGCATGTAATCCGGCCCTGGGGCAGGTTGTGAGCGAGTTTTGTGCCATTGTTTAGGGCTTAAGCTTGGAGCCGCGTTGCTCTGCTGCCGTGCTGCTTGGCGGCCTGGCCCGGCCCCCCCTACCCTGTCTTTTGTCTTTCCTCCATTTTGATCTCACTTTTCATGCTCTCACTTTTTCAAACTGCATTTCTGCAATGGATTGCTGTTTTAGAGCCAAAATCCAACTATAGACTCTCATGTATTAACCTTTTGGGGCTTGTCAGCATGGTACTAGTTCTGGTTTAGGATTTGATGTCGTTTTGCTGGGATATAGCTAAGTACCAAATAAGTTGTGTTGGGAGCAAAGTTTGATAAAGCACCCTACTGATTCAAAATGTGTTCTTGCACATAATCTACATATCTCAAGTAGGACTTTTTCCAAGGTCCTACTTGGCAAACAGTATGACCTTGGGAAAGTAAAACATCATACTAATTGGTTCTTTGTCTACTATGGTTTTAATTAACATGTTTTTCTTACATTTTAAGTTGTTAGACCTTCGGTCCAAGCTTTCTGCCAAAGAAATCTCTCTCCAAGAATGTAAGGCAGAAATTGACAATTATAAGGAAAACACTGCAAGACAATCATCAATGATTGCATCTTTACGAGCCAGAATGCAGGAAACAGAGGAAGAATCAGGATTGCTTGCTACCTCAAAGACAAGAGCGGATTTAGCCATGCAGACAGTTCTTCAGGAAAATCGAGACATGAAAGAAAAAATTCATGAATTTCAGTCTAGATTAAAGTAAGAAATACATTTTTCCCCCCTAAATTTTCCTGTGAACATGGTTGGCAATGAAGTTTAACTTTTTGGGTTTAATAATAAATATATACATTAATAATATTAGATGCTGTTTATAGCTTTTGTGTTTTATCAATCTTATGTCATGAAAAAAATGGTAAAGATGGGATGCATCAAGCCTTTTCCCAAAGAGTCATTTTGTCTACAACCCACCTGGATTGTATATGTAAATGATAGAAAGTATTTAAATGAATCCAAACTATCAAAATATGCAACTCAAGATCCTATCAGAATTCCTATAAACAGTGATTTTTTTTTTAATCCCTCAGTTTGAGTAATTTGAGTACTCTGAGGAACACAAGCTAAACATTTACATCCCTAAACACCATTTGCTATATAGATTGTAGCATTGAATAGCATTTTCATAGTAACACTGCAGATCTTAATGGCCACAATCAGTATTTCACAGTGATACATACTGGCACTGGCATGACTATACTATAGCTAGATAAATTCCACAGAGTGATGTTTGACACAATGGCATTTAGGCAACAGTATTAATTGCTATTTGCAGGATAAATTGTCACTTTAAAGCAGGGGTGCCCAAAATTTTGATTCCCAGAAGTTGTAGAACTTCAACTCCCATGATGCTTTGCATGCCTTACGAATGACAAATTGTCGTGGAAGCGGTAGTTTTAAAACATCTTGGGATCTAACTTTTGGACACCCCTGTTTTAAAGTATTATTTTTGTTGTTATTCAAATAGTATTAAACATGTTAGAACACATTAGCTTCAGTAAGTTTAATAAATACTTTCATTTTAATATTTAGTACATATTTGGCTCAGTGGGAGGAAAGCAAGAGTCAAGCGTCACGATACAGTAGAAGTCACGGGCATTTCTTGGATCAGCTCTCTGCCTGCTTGGATGTTAACCTCAAAGGAACAGATGAGTCTGAAGAAATTATGATATCCAAGGTAATAATACAAAAAGCATAACTAGCAACAACATACATGAGGATTAAGCGTCTATTTCAAAGAGCAGATTGTGGAAGTTATTAAAGGATCACTATAGTGTCAGGAAAACAAAGTGGTGCCTCCAACCTCAGGGTTCCCCTCCCGTGGCGCTGAAGGGGTTAAAACCCCTTCAGTTACTTACCTTATTCCAGCGCCGGGCTCCCTCGGCGCTGGTGACCTCTCCTCCCCCGCCGACGTCAGCTCCCTCTGCCGACGATTTCTCAATGCTTTCCTATGGATGGTCTGGGCGATGCCACCAGCGTCGCAGATGCGACTCTAGTGGCTTTCCGGAAGACAGCCACTAGAGGCTTGGCTTAACCCCAAATGTAAACATAGCAGTTTCTCAGAAACTGCTATGTTTGCATCTGAAGGGTTAAAACCTGAGGGACCTGGCACCCAAACCACTTAATTGAGCTGAAGTGGTCTGGGTGACTATAGTGTCCCTTTAAGAATGTATGTATGTTGATATATATCTCTGTCTATCTCTCTCTCTCTCTATCTATATATATGTTTATATGTAATAGAGAGAGTAATTCTGATGCAAAACCAGATTTAAATAACACAAGATTTTAGTTTGTTGTTAAATATATCTAAGATCCTCAAATTGTGGTCATATTGAGCTACCCAGGGATCCATGACAATATCTCATTATGTCTAAAAGCTTTCTGGATGTTTTTTTTTTTTTTTACACAGCTCTTTTGAATCTGTGTGCCCCCCACCAAGTGTAATTACAGATCCCATTTTCTCTAGAGACATGAAAATCTAGCATTGAGACATAATGGACAACCATTGAGCGCTTGAAGGAAAATTACTGTGCAGATAGTTCCTCCCACTAAACTTTTTATGTTGAATTGGAGTATAATGGCTATTATATATAATGGCTATAAAGTGTCAACGCACCTTGAACTTTAAAAAAACAAACAATTACTTACATTACATTATTTACATTTACTTTAATACATTTTATTTTTTTATACTGACTAACAGCTGCGTGGCTTCTAGTTATATCCAGCTGCAGACTCCAACAGCTTCCGTTTTGTCAAGATTAACTAGATTAATGATGATGCTTTATAAAAATTGATTCAATGCAGGCAATGCAGTACAGGGAGCTAATAGCAACAGCTTAAATGCATTATAAAATACCAAACTTATTTTATTCTCCCACATATAGGTTTAAAAAAGCATGTGAAGTAGCGATATACCAAATAGCAGCAACCTACGTGTTTTGTACCTTTTCTACTTTAACTCTTTGATTGCGGACAATTACTTTTTGTTTTGGCATTAATACTCAAGTCAGACAATGCAACCTGCTGTCTATCTCCTTATCTGACTTCTTCTGGCAATATGACTGAATACACAACGTGCACATTTTGACTGTCTCTTGCAGGTTACAATAACCATCAAAAAATGAAATGACAGGAATAACTATAAATTAAAAGCAGATGTGTACGTTTTGCAAATTTGCAAATTCATTTTGTTTCAATACGCTCTGGTGGTTTAAACTGTGAAATATATAGATCAAATATAATCTGTTCTTTTAAGAAACGTCATCTGAGATTTAATTGCATTCACCACAGATGTAACAGTAACCTATTGTTATTTATGTTTTATGACAGGTGAAGGAGCTGCAGAAACAAAACGTTGAATTGAAGGGTCGTGTGGCTACTCTTGAAGGAACTATTAATGTCCATGAGACGGAATCAAAAGCCAGCAGAGAAACTATCATGAAGCTAGTTAAAGAAGTTAAAAGAGAGCAAAAAAGGGGTTCGTCATTCACTCAACAGATTGACAACCTTCATAAGGTGTGTGAATTCTGATCCTACTGTGCGTGGAAGAAGGATAATCATTGTGTATGACTATAAACCATATATAATTTTAATAAAATTTAATAAATATTTTTTTTAAGTATAACCTACTTAAAAATTACAAAATAACTTTTTTTTTCCACTAGAGTTTTAAGAGATGTACGTTATTGTAATTGGCAAACTGTACATAACCTGTATAAATGCAAGAATCTGATCATAGTTACAAGATGAGTTTTCTGCTTGCTTAAATCCCATTTGTTGGGGTCGGCTGGTGATGACGTAGGCGGGTGCGTGTCTACGTGAGAGGAGGGGATATGTAGTGGAAGGGCGCCCGGCGGTGTTTTTTTGGCGGTTCGAGCGGGTGATTTAGCCGACGACATCCGACATCTGAGGCGAGACTATCGGGTTCTCTCTTCATTCCGGCGAAAATTGAGTGGCATCCGGAGCTCTCGAGCAGAGACGCAGGGGAGATCTGGCGAGGAGAGAAAATCTATAGTGGCTGCAAAGATAAGTCTGCTACATGCTTTATTGATATTATTAAAGACCAAGAGAGTAATAATGGCATTGAGAGAGTGAAAGAGAGAAGGGGGGTGAGGAGGATAGAAAACAGAAATTAGAAGAATATTGTTTTATAAAACACCAGGAGAGGAGGAAATGGAGGAAATGGAGGGGTGAATTTCCCCAAAGAGAAAAAAAATAAGTGAAACAGGTTTATAAATACTGAGAATTATGACTTAAAGTTTTGTTGCCTAAAAAAAGAAAAAGAAAAGAAAAGAGAAAGAAAGAAAGAAAAGGGAAAGAAGGGAGATAAAAAAAAAAGTAAGAAAAGAGAGTTTCCTAAAAAAGAGGAGGGGAAAAAAAAGAAGAAAAGAGAAAAGTGAAACAAGAGTCAAGAGGGGGAAAGGAAAGGAAAGAAAAATAGAAAGAAAGAAAGAAAAAAGGGAATAACAAAAGAAAAGAAGATTTTTTTTTTTATTTTTTTTTAGGGAAACAAAATGGCAACTAGAAAGCCACAGGAGGAAAGAAAAAAAAGAGAAAAAAAAGATAACATTACTGATAAAAGGTTATCAGGTTATTTCTCCCCTCCTCCAAACAAATCTCAATTGAATTTGAAAATCAGGATAATTCCCCTCCCCCCAAACCTAACTCTAATCCCTCTCATGTTGCACAGGCTGGTAAACCTCTAACTGAAGAGACTCTAATTAATTACCTGGATAAATTACAGGACAATATTAAAGAAGACATCCAAAAAGGATCATTAGATTTAAAACAAGAGATAAGAAATATGAAAGTACAATTGGAATCTATAGAGTCTAAGATGATCCAAACAGATCTTAAAAATGTACATATAGAGTTATTAATGACAGACCTGCAATCCAAGGTAGAATTATTAGAGGATAAAATAAACGACTTGGAACATCGTTCCAGGAGAACTAACATAAGAATCCGTAATATTCCTGAACATATTAACGAATCAACATTGAAAAATTTTTTAATCGAATACTTTGAAACAGTACTATCTCAAGCTGGTTTACAAGACTCAGAATTAGAAAGATATCACAGGTTACCTAGACCCAGAAATGTGGCTGAATCATTACCGAGAGATGTAATTGTTAAATTTCAATCTTTCTATATTAAAAATCAAATAATGAGTTCTCTGAGAAGTAAGCCAGTTACAGAAGAGAGATTTAAGAACTTGAAGGTTTTCCCGGATCTATCTTTCCAAACAAGAGCATGGCGGAAAAGTTTTATTCAGGAACTAGCCATATTAAGATCTAAAGAAGTGAAATACATATGGGGATTCCCTAAATGCCTTAGGATCTTTTGGAGAGGAAAAAATGAAAAATTCATTACTCCGGATGCCTTGAGAAAATGGATGGAAGAGCAATCAATAGTGGACGTCATATAATTCGGGACAATAACTAAAAACCGAAGAGGATTCGCAGTTGTCTGGATGAAAAAGGACAATTAAAATATAAAATATATATTTTATTTTTTTTGTTAGGGTGAGGCTGGGTCTTTAAGAATTAATAGATACTATGAAAGCATGGAGAAAGATAAAGCTAAAGAATAAGTGTTAATAATAAGTGAATGGTGGGTTTATTATTAGTACACGTTTGAGAAGGATGGTAAGAGTTAGTACTTTAAAGGATAAAATAATCATATAGAGTGGGTAAATTTATAAAATTGGTAGCTTAACACTGTAAAAGGATGTAATACTTACACACAGAATTAGAAATTTATAAAGGCTATGGAAATACTGGTAATTTGAATAAGACACGGAAAGAATTAATATAAAGGATAGATCGATTCGTATACACAGTATAAACTGCTAATGATTATTTATAAATATTCACGGTTGGATTTGGGATATATGGTTGGATTTAATACAGTTAAGAGATAGAGACTGTATATACTGTTTGAAAATACATAACTGGTTTGGTGATTATAACAATTTGAATAAGACGCATGGAACGCACTTTATAAATAATTGCACGGATTTCACAAAATAAGGAATGTTTATAAATTGTTAAAGACCAGATATCTATATTGTTAAGGGTTGTAGGTTGTAAATAAGTGGGTTTTTTTTTTCTCTTTTTCTCCCTCTTTTCTTAAAGTATTTATATGAGATAGTAGAGAGTTTTTTAAAATAAGGAGTATGATTTTCGGGCGCTCTCTTCTATATTGCCCCACCAAGTGTCATCTTTTTGTGTTGACACAAATACCGCGATATGGTAATCTATAATACCATCTCACGAGGACACAGATGGCCCTTGAGTGGTGAGTTGAGACAACCACTCGGGAGCCAGGCTGTGTTGGGCCAGACTGGGTGTCTTTCCCATAAGGCTTTTGTGGGTCTATGTACAATGGACCATTTGTGTTTTTTGTGAATGCATTGCAGCTCTCTTGGTATCAGTGGTAACAATGGTTTTTTTTGAGTTAAAATGGTAAAGATGATTTCGGTTAATGTTCAGGGCCTTAATTCTCCAATTAAGAAATCTCTAATATAGGATTATATGTTGAGAAATAAAGTGGAAGTGGGCTTTTTTCAAGAAACCCACTGGTCAGATATGGATAATCAAAGCTGGGGTGGTTTAAAATTTCCCACAGTGATATATGCTTCATTAAGTGGAAAAAAAAAAAGAGGAGTAGCAATAGTTTTCTCCCAAACACTAAAAGTGGATATAATACATCAAATTAAAGATAAGGAAGGCAGATATGTAATAGTCTGCTGTAAATTAAATGAGATACCATATACATTGACTAATATATATCTTCCCAATGATTTTCCTGCTCCAACCTTAAAAAAGGTTTTAAGTTTAATAGAATCTATTAAAATAGGCACATGTTTGGTGGCTGGGGACTTTAATAGTATACTGGATCCGACACTAGATAAGAAGACAATCTCAACATTGTTACATAAAAAAAGAACAGATAAACTTGCAAAATCTATTAATAGAATTATGATTAATTTTGACTATTTTGATCTTTGGAGAACGACCAATCCTGACTCATTGGAATATACGTTTTTTTCACGCGTACATCTTTCGTATTCTCGAATAGATATGGTGTGGGGCAATATGACAGCATTGACGAATATTAAATATTTTAAGATACTTGATAATACCTGGTCAGATCACAGTATTAATATGTGGGAGATGAAGAATCAATGGACCAGGATTGGTCGTGATACCTGGCGTATGGAGGATAATTTGTTAAAATCTAAGATCAATCTTGATATATTAGAAAAACAAATAGTAACCTTTTTTCTTGAAAACGACCCTAATGACACATCATATATAAATAATTGGTGTGCCTTTAAATCCACAATGAGAGGCAATATAATAAGTATACAAACAAGATATAAAGTAGAAAATAATAGAATTTTTCTAGGACTACAAGCAGAATTAAAAAAGATCGCAAGTAAGAATAAGCAGTCTCCTTCTAAAGAAAATGCAGATGAACTGAAAAGTATTCAGAACAGAATTAATAATTTTTTGATAGCAAAGAATGCAAAACTAATGAATAAACTTAAAGCAAATTATTATTATAGGGGGAACCGAGCAGATAGAAACATGACAAAAAAATTAAGAGATAAAATTGGATCCAGCAAAATAGCAAAGATAGTGGATGAAGATGGGGCATATTTAGACCCAAAAAAAATAGGTGAGAGATTTAATAAGTACTATGAGGCTTTGTACAATCTAACTCCCCCGATAATAAATGAAGAGGATTATCTGAGTAAAACCAATACACCCAAATTTACATTAGAACAAAGTAATAAGCTAAATACTTTAATTACAGTCCAAGAAGTAGAGGCAGTAATAAACAAATTAAAATCAGACAAGACGCCAGGTCCAGATGGTTTTGCAAATATATTTTACAAATCTTTTAAAAACATTATAGTTCCTCATCTAACGAATATGTTTAACGAAATCGTATCAGTTGGCAAATTTCCTACCGAAATGCTGAGTGCAAATATTCTTCCAATTTTAAAAGATAATAAAGACCCTTTAAAGGTGGAGAATTATAGACCCATCTCTTTAATTAACACAGATGTTAAAATCTTTTCATCAGTTTTGGCTAATAGACTAAGGGGACTAATGGATTATATAATCAAAAATGATCAAATTGGTTTTGTCCAAGGCAGAGATCCGGTAGATAATTCTAGAAGATTATTGGATTTGATAGATGCATCTAGAAGAAATAATAAATCTTTATTTGTATTGGCTGTAGATGCCGAGAAAGCTTTTGACAGGGTCGGTTGGGATTTTTTAAGGAAAACTATGGAAAAATTTGGAATCCAGGGCAGGATGCTTAATGCTATTTTAGCTCTATATGAAGGCCCAAAAGCAAGAACAGTGGCCCCAAATATATGTTCAGAGTGGTTTACACTAAAAAATGGCACGAGACAGGGCTGTCCTCTGTCGCCTATCTTATATATTATGACAATGGAGATTCTAGCTACTAATATAAGAGATAACCCTCGAATTAAAGGATTTAGATACAGAGAGAAAGAATTTAAATTGAATCTATATGCGGATGACTTGATTTTGACCCTAACCGACCCTGTCGAATCGCTTAGTGCCTTAATGGAAGAGATAGATAAATACAGTTTGATTTCAAATTATAAAATAAATGCAACGAAATCTACTTTTTTAGCTATAAATATTTCTAGAGACTCTATCCAACAGATTAAAGATAAATATAAATTTAACTGTGATAAAAACAGGTTATCTTATCTAGGTATAGTGATTTCTGATGATTTAAAAGATACGTTGCAAACAAATTTTTTGAAAATATTTAGATCGACACATGAGTCATTAAAAAGATGGAGACAAATTGAATTATCCTGGTGGGGTAGAATTAATTTGGTTAACTCGTACTTACTCCCTAAATGGTCTTATTTATTTCGCATGATCCCTTTGAGAATGCCACAACCATGGTTATCTATGATACAACGAGATATAAATAATTTTATATGGAAAGGAAAAAGGCCGAGGATGAATAAGCATCTTTTGATTCAGAAGAGCAGGAAAGGAGGGATAAATTTCCCAAACGTCAACATAATTTATTTAGCTAATATGATGTTTCATATATATAAGACGCAATTATTAAGTTCAGAGGAAGCTGGATGGTATCAATTAGAAATGGAGATGGTAGAAATGGAAAATCTACATCAATTGATATGGCTAACTAATCAAGACGAAAGAATTAAAAAGGTCTGTACTTCTAATAATTGCTTGAAATCCATTCTAATGGAGTGGGAAAAGCTGAGGATTAATAGCGGAATCCGTAATAAAATATTGGGAAACTTTAACCTCAGTATTATACAACTAAGGATGAAAGATTTAAATATTAGTGAATGGACAAGGAGAGGCATTGATTATATAAATCAAATAATATCGGGAGATAAAATTAAATCATTTGAAAATTTGATTCAAGAATTTTCACTACCTAGGAAAGAGTGGTATAATTATTTAAGAATCAGAGGCTTTATTAAACAGTTTTTGTTACATCGACCTACAGCGGGTATAGAAAATTTGATAGTTCTATTAAGAAATGAAAAGGTATCGCAAATAGTTTCAAAGGCAAGGACTGCTCTTCTTCAACTTGAAGCACCAAACTTAAATGTAAATATTCAAAAATGGAGTAAAGAGTTAAATGTACAGATTCTTAAGTCTGAATGGGACCAAGTATTATACCAAACAAGTAAAATAATCCATTGTTTGAACCTTCTTGAGGTATTATTTAAATTAATGAATCGCTGGTATTTAGTTCCCACCAGATTGTCCAAAATGTACACTTCTAATTCCCCACTGTGTTGGAGATGCAATGATAAAGAGGGGACTTTTGGACATATATGGTGGGACTGTAGTAAGGTGAAAATTCTGTGGTTTATGGCTTTTGAATCATTGGAGTATATTACAGAAACAAAAATCCCTATAGGTCACCATAATGGTCTATTTCATTTAAATTTGCAATCACTCCTTTTTAAGAACAAATTTATATATGTCCATTTTGTAGCAGCAACAAAAATAATAATCGCAAGGAATTGGAAGAGTAGTGCAAATTTTACACAAGCCCAGTTATATTCACAAGTCCAATACCAATTAACCATGGAAGCCTTGCGACATCAGTCAATAAAAATCAGAGATGTTAGCAATTTCTGGAAAGAAAAAATGGAGAGTCTGACCAGATAAAATCCTGGACAAAATTAATAGAATAGCTGTGTGTTTTTTTTTTACATCTTTTCCTTTTCATTTTTCTAAGGTAGTGAAATAGAGGTGCCACTGTTATACCCCAAGTAGAGTCTGCAATGCATGTTTGTTTTTGTATGTTTGTCAAGTACATCATACTAATGAAGCCAGTAAAGCTAATTATTTAATAAAAGTAACAATAGATAGTGAAGAAGGATGACTATTATGGGAGACGAAACTCTAATTTTAGAAGGACGGTTGGATGAAAATTTTTGTCATGCTCATTGTTTTCGTTATTTTGGTATTTGGATTAGTTTAAAGAAATAATATAATTGAGTAAAGAAATGGGGAACAAGCAATAATATTGTAAATACATGATAATGAGCAATATTTAATGTCTATGTATATATGTAATACCACATGTCCTATCTAACCAGCGCTAAATGTTTACATTTTTTATGTTTTTTATATTAGTATGGATGATGTTAATGTCTTGTACGTCTTGTATAAGAAAAACTGAAATAAATAAATTAAAAAAAAAAAAAATTAAAAACAAAAATCCCATTTGTTGTAATATAGATACATACTCCAATTATACATAACATGATCTTTAATTTAAAGAATAGACTGTAATTTTTTTTTTTTTTAAATAAAATGTAATAGAATTGACATTCAAAATTAATCATTATGTCAAATGCAGTGGATTAGGTGTGTTCACGTGCATTGGTGCACAGACAGATATTCAATCACAACCAGGTCAATCATGGTGTGGTCAGTACAGACATGCATAACTGCTCCCCCAAACAGAAGGCAATAAGAAGATCACTGTATCGTTTTACAGTAACAATATATACAATGATCTTATCCATATAATTAAAATGTCAGCAACCACACAGGCCACACAATTTATAGCAGGAGTAACTAAATTTCTTGCAAATGCAGTTATTACTTTCAGCATTTTTGTCATCATTATCCTTTAATCAAATGTATTTTGCCTTGTTTCCCCCTGTATACATTTATAGTGCTGAACAACACTATTAAAACACCATATTATAAAAAAAATTGTTTTTTTTTATGTGCTTGCATGACAGAGTCTAGAAAGTGTCACAGATGCCAAGCAGGATCTTGAAAGGGAAGTTCGATTACTTCAAGACAGGTTGACAGCCTCCCAGAGGGCCTGGGAAGTCAGCAAGCAAGAGCTAAATGAGGTCAAGAAGAACTCAGCTGAGCTTGATATGACTTTGAAAAGTAAACTTGGAGAGATGAAGGGAGCTCAAAGTCTATTTCATTCATTCAAAGAAAACGTTGCTGCAGTTCTCAGCCAAAACTTGACCACTGTGAAACCAAAAGAGGAGTCCATCTTGGAGAGGATACGTGATTTATGCAACAAAGCAGAAAACAAAAGTGCAGTAAGTTTTTGTTGCTTCCTTCTAACGTTCATTAACAAGTACTTTATTTTTAGCAGTAAAATCATACATTTATTACTGTACATTGGAGAAAGTCTTTTTCTACCAAGCGAAAACTATCAAGATAGCATGACTTATCTGAATACTTGTGTGGATGGCTTTACACTAGCCACCATATTTCAGTTGTCCCTAAATACTCCAAAGTCCACTTCAAATTCAGCTATGCCATGCACGTCTTTTGCAGTAGCTGGCTCACCTCAAATTACTACATTAAAGGACCACTATAGTGCCAGGAAAACATACTCGTTTTCCTGGCACTATAGTGCCCTGAGGGTGCCCCCACCCTCAGGGACCCCCTCCCGTCCGGCTCTGGAAGGGGGATAGGGGTTAAATCTTACCTTTTTCCAGCGCTGGGCGGAGAGCTCTCCTCCTTCTCTCCTCCTCCGATCCGCCCCGTCTGCTGAATGCGCACGCGCGGCAAGAGCTGCACGCGCATTCAGCCGGTCGCATAGGAAAGCATTTATAATGCTTTCCTATGGACGCTGGCGTGCTCTCACTGTGAAAATCACAGTGAGAAGCACGCAAGCGCCTCTAGTGGCTGTCAATGAGACAGCCACTAGAGGATTAGGGTGAAGGCTTAACCCATTAATAAACATAGCAGTTTCTCTGAAACTGCTATGTTTATTAAAAAATGGGTTAACCCTAGCTGGACCTGGCACCTAGACCACTTCATTAAGCTGTGGTCTAGTGGTCTGGGTGCCTAGAGTGGTCCTTTAAGCACTACTATTATTTTTTACATATTCGGCCTGTGCAGCTTAAAGAATCTAAGCAACAGTATCAAATAATTTCTGTTATGTATACAATCTGTCTGAAAAGGAACTATGAAGAACTGCAATCCTAATTCTATACAATGTATGAAAATGTTTAGGCCTCACAGGTGACTTGATTTTCTCTGTTTTGGTATTCTTTTAGAATTGTTATACATGTGCTATGATAAACATAATCTGTATCAGAGTTTCTCAAAAAGGCAGTGGTCTGCAGGAGTTATAGAAATATACAACACAACAAATACAATAGGTACAAAAGTAATAAAAATAATACTTATCAACAGTAAAGAAACAGCCTCCCACAGATCCCCTCCCAAGTAGAAGTCATAGAAATATACAGCTGATATATCTAAAGACATTAATAAACAGGACATAGTGTAAAACCATTAAACAATAAAGAACACACCCTGTTTTAGATTGCACTCACAATATGTTTGAATAAGAAGCGCTCCAAAGGTGCCTCCCTCAAAGTAGATGGGGGGCTAATAATCCTTCTCATGATCAGGTATCACCGTAATTCAGGAACCATACAGGACTCTGAAAGGTAGATAGATGTATAAAATGTGGTTTATTTGGTCTACTTCGGGGGAGGCATCTTTGGAGCGCTTCTTATTCAAACATCTTGTGAGTGCAATCTAAAACAGGGTCTGTTCTTTATTGTTTAATGGTTTTACACTATGTTCTGTTTATTATTTTTTTTCTTTAGATATATCTATTTGTAACAAACAAGTTTTCATTTCATGAACTACCAACTACCTTCATGACTCCAACACAAATTAAAACCCACCTTCCAGTATACAGAGTGGTATTTCAGAGGCAAGACTCATATTTCTGACATTCACTGACCCTGTGGTACTATTGACAAAGTAGGAAACAATGAATGGTCTCAGTTGGGAGGGCCATGTGGGTCCTTTCTTAAAGAAATGTACCAAATTGTCAATTGAATATTGGACAAATTGCTGTTTTCTGCCCAAGCCTTCTCAATGGCAACATGCATTAACCATACTTGCTTTTTTTCAATATTGTTATTGTCACATTATATTTTATTGTAACGATTGTACCATATGCTCACATCATTTTGTTTGTTTGTACCTGTTTTGGATAAAAATAATAAAAAATATCTCCTGCTCCGCTAGACACCAGTCATATTTGAGTTGGTGGTGTTGCACCCTCTATTTCCCTTTCTGGAAGTACCTAAGAAGTGAAAATCTAGCATAGCCGCTTGAGTTTCCAGGACACTGAAAATGAAAGCAATTCTGCCTGGTGTTCTTCCCTTGATGTAGTCTCATTGTCAGAGGTTCTTGTAGATTTCCATGAAGAGGAATATAGACACATTTAATATGAATGCAATTCTATTTCTGCACAGTAGATGGCAATTCTGTATCTGTCAAATTGATAGAGATTTTTGTTGTACGTATTTAGCTCTGAGTTGCATGAAATATTGCAAGACAGTCAGTCATTTCGTTCGTGTTGTTACTAGATACAGAACCAATGTTAAGGCTTTTTAAAATGTACCTGTTTACTAAAAGTCATCTGCTTTTTTTTGAGTGGGAGGCAGAGGAAAGCATTTTTTATTTTATGTAGTATATCTTGAAAATTATGTAAAATTTAAACTTTTATTAAAATCCTGCAATGCACATAGACTATTTTACAAAAAATGTATAAAGTTGCATTTGCTGCCTTTTAGAGTTCTAAAAGGAGTTAACCTTTGTGCTTTCTGAGCATGTCTTCCAAAACAGTATGAATAAAATACATTTTACTAGACTTGCACAAGGTGAAAAAATTTGTATTAGCCAAATTGGTTTGTCTGGAAAGAAAATTTTTTGTTCAGGGGGCCCTGAAATTTGATCATAGGGTTTCAGTTTGGATAACTTTTGTCTATTTGAATGATTAGGTAAAAATTATTCTGACAAACCAAGAGACATGAAAATGGGCCAATCAGTATACTGCAAAATATATGCATAATATAAACATTATGCATATATTCTGCAGTACACTGAAGGGTGCAGTTTCCTGGATTTTGTTCACAAATCAAATGAAAAGTAATCATTAGAGGGGAAAAAGAAGGATCAGTACATATTATTATATATTTAATACAGGTGATCCTTACTTACTGACCGAGTTACGTTCCTACGATTCAGTTGTAAAACGAATTGGTGGGTATGTTCGGCGGAATTCCACCACACAGAGACCAGCTAACTAGTGCAAGGAATCCCTCGAATCCATGTTGTGGGCAAATTCCCCAAACATAGATTAGAGGTATTTCCTGCTCTGGGGCACATGTCTATGTTCAGGGACATTTCCCTGAACATAGACAAATGAACCAGAGCAGGAAATACCTTTAATCTATGTTTAGGGAAAGTTCCCCGAACATAGACTAGCTCTCTAATGTGGGGAATCCCTCAAATCCCTGCACTAGAGAGCTTGTCATAAGTCTGACACATCGTTATACAGGTAAGTCTTAAAGTGAGGACTACCTGTATATATATTTTTGATAAGCTTTTGATTTCAGTAAATATTCTGCAAACACAGCAATGACAATTTTCAGTTCTTTACAACCCATAAAGTGTTTTGAAACTTACTGTGCGTAATGATTTGGAACAGTGCATTGTACGTTTTTTTATGTTTAAAAAAAAATACTGTTATCATTAGGAGGTTTGTTCAATATAATTTGAATTGTACTCTTAATAGTTTATAACATGAGAATTATGCTGACTGTTATTTACATCAATTATTTAGGTAAATGAGAAAAATATCATTTGCATAATAATTTGGAACAGGGTGTGTGTATGTGTGTGTGTGTGTATATGTATACATGTGTGTGTTTGTGTGTGTATTTATGTATAGTGTGTGGCCAATAGTATGTGAACAACCCTCCTACCTTTTTGTTTTTGAAAAATAAATAGATTGAAGGACAGACAAATTTTCTATTAAAATCTGACAGGAATTGTTAGGGGTGTTTGAGGGCTGAAGCCCCACATGTGGCTTGACATTTAATAGATGGGAAAATAGGATATACTTGTTTATTTTTAATTTTACATTAAGTAGCTGCCTATTATAAAAAGTAGGATTAGTAGCATAGCAGACCCCCCCAACAGTCCAAGTTTAGGTGGGACAGGCCTCATTTTGGGATCCTGCCTCGCCATCATGATTTAGTTCTCTGGTGTCCTACATCCGGGAACACCAGCCAACTGATGGGCCCTAGGAATCTGCAGAGAGTACTTCAGCGGTGCTCTGTGCAAGATACTGCAGGCTGGAAGCCAGACAGAAACACGCCTTCAGTCCTTCAGTTGGCAGACCAGTCTTTTTTGCTAAGCAGATCTGCCCATTATAGTCATTATCAGTGATGACACCCTCTTAGACCTGTACAACCATCCAGAACTAAACTAATGCTTATCTCTTACATATGTTATCTAATTGTGGGCGTTCCTGACATTGCACACATGCGCCCTGGTTCAAGATAGTTGCACAGTAGTTTTAACCATGTGAATACTGAACTTTACTTAAACATCCTGTAGCTTTTACCACACCCCAACCCTCCAAAAAAAATGAACTGCATCTTCACCTGTGTGTCTCGTAGCCCCCTTTTGAATTTCTTACACCCTTTAGTGTTTCTTATCCCCCTTTTCTTGAATGTCTAACCCCCTTTTGCCTCTTTGTGTATCTTACACCCACTCTAGTGGCACCTTGTGTGTATCTTACAACCCCCTTGTTTATCACTTACTTCCACTCAGCCCCTTTGTATCTCTTTCTTCCCACCAGCACCTTTGTGTTTCTCTTACTTCCTCTCCAGCCCCCCGCCCCCATTTTTTTTCCAATTCTTTATTTTTGTTGTGCAAATGATTAAAAATGAGCTCGTATTGCTAAAACAGCATTCACAAGCTTTATACATTTCAAAATAGTAGCATGGTAAGTGAAGGAACTGCATATTTAAAAAAAATATGACATGAGAAAGCAATAAACATGTGTGGTGCAGTTGTTCAACAGAGGCAGCGTAACACATCCCAACACAGCATTTGTGAGATTTGAATAAAGACATTGTGAACATAATTCTATGGGGGTGGACAAAGAGAGAAGTAGGTACGCTATGTCATAAACTGTATTAGTTAACATAAAATACCACTGGACAGGTAGAGTTAATTATAACTGAGTCTCAAGTAGAGTACATAAGGTATAGTCAGATAAGCGTGTGTAAATAAGAGGTCTATTTAAGGATAGCCTAGTGCATAATTAACTGAAAACACAAAAATAAACTGAAAGAATACACATGGCTATGAAAGATCTGCCTTGTAATTCTAAGCCCCCTCAGCCAATGCCTGTGAATGGAAGGCCTGTACCCTATAAGAGCAAGAGTTTATCGAAGCACAAATGGGCACTCCCCCAGCTCCGCTGACTGCGGATCTCCCACCCCGAGCCTCCATGAGTCTGGCAGCATTCAGCTTCAGGGCTCCATAATTGCCTCATTGCACGCCCCAGGCCTTGCTGAATCTATTGACAGTGCCGGTGGCCCCCTCCAATATGCTGAGCAGGTGTACAGCATTGGGGCTTAGGGGCAGGTTGTCTGTGAGGTCTTTTCAGCCACAGGTCCCGTCTTCTGCTCTTCGCCAACCATGAAGTGCTGAGGGTTTGCTGCAGAAGCTGAACAGGGGGTCTGCAAGCCCGACATACCCTTAAGGATCTCACCCGATCTTCATGCGTTAAGTTTGGAGGGCGAGGTGGGCTGATGCATGTGAGTTGCTGGTGTTGGTGTATCCGAGGTATGTGAATGGGTCAGCAGAACAAGCTGTTGCCTAGCCTCTATTTTCGCCCAGAATCTGGTAAAGATGCAATCCAGCTTACTCAGAGTTGTAAGGTAGTCCTCGGCTGGGCCTCCGGCTATGAAGGCTTCTCCGTATACAGCAGCCCTAGGAGCCAAGAAGAAGCTGTGGGTGATACCCTGGGGCTGGGATGACCCCCACCGGGTGGGAGTAAAGGGGGGAGGGAGTGCAGTCTGCTGTGAGTAACAATATGTGGCATCTGGAGAGTGGCCGTCCCTCTGACACCAGTCAGGCTTGTGGGCTGCAAGAAGTTGAGAGCCGGTGTTCTGGGTCAGGACAGTGCCAAGTCTGGTACCAAATGAGTCCCCAGGGACCCCACTGTGCATTTAATCTGGTTTTGTGGTGATAGTTGCGAGATGGCATGCAGAAAAAAGCTTAATTAGCAGGCTTTGGTCAGGAGCTCGCCTTGCATGCGTCCGCTCTGCCTGCCAGTCAGGCACCGTCCCCCCTCACCAGCCCCTTTGTGTGTCTCTTTCTTCCCCCATTCACTTTCTGTGTCTCTTTCTCCCCTTAGCCCTTTTCTGATTCTTTTTCTCCACTTAGCCCCTTTCTGTGTCTGTTTCTCCCACCACCAGCCCCTTTGTGTGGCTCTTTCCTCCCAAACCATACAGACATAGATATACAAGTACAAACAAACAAGTACATACATCCACAAAGACACAACCATACACACACAAAGTCATAAAAGGAACACAAACAAACAGTCATACAAGCAACCAGTCATGCACAGACATACAGGCAACCAGTCATACAGAGACATAAAGACACAGTCATACAGTGATAGATTTTAGTAAATACATCAGATGTGTAAATGTAGCTTAGCAAAATAGCATCAATTTAGCACTGCATCCAAACCCAATCCCCTTGTTTTTAATTTTATTTGCATGTTGGGTAATAGACTAACACCAAGCATTGTTTAACAGGCCAACAATGTCCTGTGAGAAATGATAGCAGGAGTTTCTAATGCTGCTGAGCGTATAGCATGTTTCTTATAGAAGGTGAAATCTGTTGCATATTTCACAATGTCACAGTGAAATGTATGTGTTAAGCTATGCTATCTTCATTGCTCATATGTAGATGGTAACACAGTTGGAAACTCGAATATGCAAATTGAATGAACAACTCCAGACCCAGACTGACCTGCATCAGGAAGCCTTGCACAGGGCTAAAAAGGCAGAACAGCAGCTAGACGACCTCAGGGGCCGGATCAAATTAGCAGAAGGGGAACTGGTGACCGGTGATGTAATGAGGGACACACTTAGTAATGAGAAGCAGAAGGTAAGTTCTAACGCCATATAAGAAAATAAAAACAGGCTCTAACAATCATTGGTTTGAATTAAATATTATGAACATTAAGTGCTCTAATCAAACTATAACATGCTCTTTTGCCAAACTCCCCTCTTAAATCACCGCCATTCCATCAAAATGGAAACTAGAATTTTTATGCACATCATGCTCTTCTCCATTGGCACATCTGCTCCTAGCAAACTAATGTTCCCCTTTAATTTTCTCACTGCGGAAAATTACCTGATAGTTGCAAAGCCTTAATAGGTTATGGTGTCAGAAAATTTTGTGTGCGAAATTTAAGTATTGTTCCAATAAATTCAATTTTATTATCCTCTGCAAGACATCCTCTTTTCATGTTTGCCTTTGTCCTGGTTAACGTAAATGTGACGAGAGCAATCTCGCCACATTGCATTGGAGGAGCCTGGCTGCCCGCCTGCTCCCTTTAGACTATGGACCGGACTTTTAAAATACTTTATTTTCCCTGCAGAATGGCTTATTCATGCCTTTCTGCCAGGTCGTTCGGTAGATTTTATCTACCTAACAAAATACCAAAGGCGCGACCACCGGGAAGCTGGTGTGTGCCTTCAATTCACCTCCCTGAAGCTAGTATGTGCCGTCAATTGACCACCCAGTAGCTGCGGTTAACAGCAGCTTAATTGACTGTTACACTTAGCGGCCTCTAGGTGGCGGTGTTATAGAGCTCCCCGGATGGCCAGCGGTGCTCAGCCCGGAATCAGTGCACTAAAAGCGGACACTTTTACGTGCAGGCACCGCTCCAGCCTTCCCTGCTTCTATTCAAGGCTGTTTAGCCGAACGCTGAATCGATCGAGACTTTACTTCAGTGAATGTTTTAACCCAGATAGCTAGCCATGGAGCCTATTTGTGTAATTAAAGACTTTGGCTCCATGGCAATTGAACTGTGTGTATAGGATCTGAGCACTATTCGGTAGTTATGTGCGCTCAGATACCAGCTATCTGGGGATATGTGACATGTCTGTATTTTATGTATTAAATGTAACTTTGTATATTTTAAAGTATTTTACTGTCTTTGTGTCCCCACGTGTATAATGGAGTTTTGCCTTTGTCCTGGGAGATAATTGGATTACTTCCCAATTATCTACAGGATAGAGGGAGGGAAATTAGGATGCATTGTGGGGATGTTTTACTTCTGTGTGTCTGAATGTGATACATGTCTGTCTGTGTTACAGTCTTCAATCTGGTCCCCTAGGTAGTCCACCAGGTGGGAGACCTGCATAAATACTGGGCAGGTAGCCCTCAATAATAGAGATCACTGCTTGACCCACAACACGGAGCTTTGTCTCATCTTTGGGGGGGATTTACTGTATGCTGTTAGAGACTGATTGCCAGGAGTGTAAGCCGGTTGGGTGCTTTTCCTGTTCGTCTGCTAGCAGCTATTCGTGAGGTTCCAGTTCGGGAGTTTGGAGTGCTACTTTGTATGCAGTTCGGGAGTTTGGAGCATTCCCTTTTATCCAGTTCGGGAGTTTGGTGTTCTGCAGTAGCTGTGCCTGTGTCTCTGGAAAGGAAGATCTACTAAACAGCGGTTTAACCCTTTTATGCCTGAGGGTGCCGTTACAGTAAATTTTCTTCCTTTGTTTCTTTCATAGTACATGAAGTTCTTGGAGACTCTCTCGGATAAGATGAAGCTAGAAAGGGTGACTGCTGATGTGGGCTTTGACATGCGGCTGGAAGCCATCCTTACCAGAGCCGATCAGCTGGTCAAACGTGAATCAGATGCTGTAATTGAAAACAAGACTTTGGCTCATGGTTTGCAAAGAAAGGTAATCATTAAATTCTCAACACTCTGAATATTTAAAATCAATAACTTTCCCTTTTCAGACAGGGCATTCTAGCAATGGTTTTATATATATACTGTAAGTCTGTACCTCGCGTTTGTTGTCCTCCTGTCAACCGTAATAGTTTAAGTCAGGTCCTACACTATATGTACCCCAACCACTTCATCTCAATAAAGTGATATGGGTACCATGCCCCCACAGTTTTATTCTTGCAACTGAATGGAAATGTTTTCATTCAGTAAAAAACAAAATATAAAAGTTACCTGTGCTCTTACCAAATCCCTATGCATATTTAAATAATTGGAGGTTATTTAGTATTTTCAATGGCCATTTGATGGAAGCCCACCTGCCACGTCAAGGCAAACCTCTTAGGTCCTACAATGACTACTAACCTTGCTTCTTCAAGCTTTAGGCAAATATATCTCTAATGAGACAGAGAGGGGTATGGGAACGCATGGAGAGGGCGGCGGCATTGTAACATGGCTGTGTGATACAAAAGTGAATACAAATACACAAAAACAAGTCCTGCGCTTAAACTCCCACTACTCTTGGGTGGCAGCAATGACCATAGTACACAACAGCCCTTATGCATACAGTAAAAACCAAAGTTAAAAAGTTACCTGCGCTTTTCTCAAATCCCTATGTACATTTAAATAAATGTTTAAATTATGGGTTTAAATTTCAATAGTAGTTGTCACTCAGAAACAACTAGGAATCCTTCCTCTGAAATAGCAGAGTATTAGATGGTCTCAGAGAGATTGGTGCAGTGTGGCTTTTTGCTGGCTCAGGCTGAACATGTTTGGCTGCAAGGTAGACAGAGTAAAACTGTCTATCCATGTTTGAACGAAACTGATATTCTCTCAGTGTCGGGACAATTAAAGGCATGGTATATACTGCTTGCCCAATGATATGAGATCTGTGAGACCTGTATATTGGTTTAGTGACATGTTGCTTAGAAAAAGCATGTATTAGGTGCCACTGGGCTCTTCTGTCTGAAAGGCATAAAAACAATATGTAAAACGATTTGCGTTAATTTTAAGAAAGAATATTATAATTCATTAGGATTTAGTATGTGTTGCTCGTAGTCTCTGCTTAGGTGGTGACCGCAGCGTAGGAGTCTGGTGTTGAGCCTCGTGGGATAAATGGGGCAATTCTTCGCAGATCCCAGTTGTGGGTAGAAGAAGTTGGGTTGTGGAATCTCTCCTGAGTGAGTGAGTCTTGTGGTAGTCCCAGAGTCTGCAAAAGATCTGCTGCATCTTGGATGTCTTGAATCTGATGGGAGTCATTTCCGTGTTGTACAGTGAGATTCGGGAGAGCCGCTAGCGATAGCCAATGTTGTGTTGTTGAAGCAGAGAGGTGAGTGTTTGGAGTGACCTGCGCCATGCTAAGGTACCGCTGGACAGGTCGGCAAAGAAATTCAGCGTCATGTTCTTGAAATGGAGGGGAGTTTTAACATGTGAGGACTGTTGCTTTGTCTTTCCCATTCCGGAAGGTGACTATGGTGTCCCTTGTTGCTGTGGCTGGTGCCCTGGTAGGTTTGGGGATCCAAAAGAGGTCTGCAGGGTTGATGGCTTTGGCCTGCCCGGGTGGCAATATGACTGTTAACATGCGCCTTAATACGTGCGGCAGCTCAGCCCCAGCACCTCCTCTGGTACCCCTCTAACCTTTAGATTGTCAGCCCTGGGGTAGGTTTGTTTTTACTTTTGCGTCCCATTTGGCTTGGAGGGTCCCCACAGTTTTTGGGGGTTGATGGGTATAGTTTAGTCATTGGTTTCCCTGTTTTATGCCTGGAGCTACAGGCTTGTGTGACCGCTCGTTTCGGTGGTTAGGTTCCGTCCCCGAAGCATTGTGCTTTTTGCATTCTTGACGTAGGAGTTTTTACAACTGATATATATGTTAGTACTTCCTTCTATTTACAGCTTTGATTTTTAGAAATGTTTTGTAATGCTGCTATTGTAAAGTCATAATATATTTTGACATTTCCACAGTTAAAAGCCCAGAAAGAAATGTTTGACAGCAAAGAGCTTCATATGGAACTTTTGAGAAAAAAGATTGCACAGCTTGAGGAAGAAAAACATGTCCGTACAGCGCTGGCTGTGGAGCGGGATGAGGCTAACCTGACAGTAAGGAGACTACAGAAGAAGGTAGAAAGACTGCAGAAGGAATTCAATTCTGCTCAGGAGTCAAACACAGAGCTCAAGGCCCGACTTTCAGATACTAACGAGCTTAAGGCAAGTATCACCTTTGAGTGTAGTTCACGAAAATATGGTAATTTAATAATCAATATCTATAGCAAGTACTCCAGATGTTTCATTCAACAATTACCCATAAGAGTGTGCCGGGGCCATTTCAGGTGTACGCAGGCACACCCGAACAGATGGCCAAAGTATCATCCCTTCACCCGGTTTTGGTCAGTGTGGGTACTTTAGAATACATTTGTGTTATCTTGATAGGTTTTTCAAGAAAATATATGTATACACCTTGCTATTAATGTATATTTTGAATATTTATTTTTCAATTTGTAATTTTTAAGAAATGTTTATATGGTGAGTTTTTTTCTGGCTGCACATCCTAAAGTAAAGTGCTGCACACCTGTACAAATACCTATGGCAATAACATTTCCTACGGAAGATCTTTTGACTTTGGAAATGACATTTTATTACAATGTATCCACTTTCCACTTTAATAAGTCACAGTGGGGTATGTATGGGTAGCCAGGGTCGCCATTCACTACACACACTGCATTCACTACACACACTACATGTACTACACACACACTGCATCCACTACACACACACTGCACCCACTACACATACACTACACACACTGCATCTACTACATACACACTTCATCCACTACACATACTGCATCTACTATACACATCCACTGCATCCACTATACACATTCACTGCATCCACTATACACATGCACACACACTAAATCCATTACACATACACCGTATTCACTATCATTATATACACACACTTCATCCACTTTAGATAGCTCAGTGGGCTAGTGCATCATCAGTAGAATCTGTTCAACCCTTGGGTTGCAGATTCAAATCCTGGCAGGGTTGACTCAGCCCTATATCCTTCCGAGGTAAATAAAATGAGTACCATTAAACTGGGTAATCGTAACAACCCCCGGATGTTGGGCTAAGGTAACATTCCCAGGACGTACTTGAAAACCAGAATAATCTGAATGTACCTTTCCTGGTTAAATACTTTGTTATTATTATTATTCTTGTGGGCAGACTTGGGAATGGGCATTGTGGCAGGAATCGGGGGTGAGCATTTAGGGGCACAGACCTTGAGATGTGAAAGGGGCCCCAACATTTCTGATTGCAACCCCGCATGTAGTACAGATTGAGAAACTGTCAAGTAGCTGAGATTTGAGTAAGGGAATTCGTTAAGTGTACTTTATAGTAATTTTTCTGTTTTGAATGAAAACAGCACATGGTAAGAGTTTGTTATTGTTTTAAAACCTATGCTGTCTTGACTTTGAATTGTAGTTAAATCTGCCATGTTATGCATTACGAAGAAGAGAGAAAAAAAAGTTAAAAGAAAAATCAAAACATGTTTCTTTGCTGAAAATTTGCAGCACCTGGAAGAGCTACACATATCCTATAATTTCACACACACAATGGTTTTCATGGGTTAGATTAATTTACAAATCATAAGAACTTAAGAAAACAAATCCATCACAACAGAGCTGTAGCGGAGCCCTAGTCCTTCCCAGGACTATCCTCCGCTGGATGACCAAGAGTATAAATCAGGAACAAGGAATTGCAAAGTAAATAGCCCACCTCCTCCCCAGTAACTGGACGACACACAGTTCTAGCAGTACAACTGAAGTTTATTCTGCCACACACAGCTTTTATGCACTGGCCCATAGCATGGGGTTTTCACATCAAGATCACAGAGGTTTCTTCCCAAGAGCCTTTGTGTTTGAGAAATAATTGAACTCAAATTAGGATAACTCAATTATCTCTCAAATACAGAAACTTACATACATTTTTAACATACCCCCAAAGTACACGAAAAGAATACAGGAACCCAACAAAAATCATATTCCCGAATAGCCTCGATCTGAGCGCACAACATATCCAAGCGTGCTCAAATCGGTTCAGTAGAACGAAAGGTCTGTTCAAATAAAGTTTTGACCGACTGTTCCTGTGCGAACACCGACAAACGCTCCCCCTGGATGCTATCGAGCGAATAAATCCCCTATTTGGTAGATCCTATCTCCCGATCGCCGTCCGTCTGGTTGTGAAGTGGGACCGGCAGCGGTATTCATTTGTGGTTACCAGCCAGGGGAGGTCAGTGCTCGCTGGGGCATAACAAGGGGACTACACACCAGTCATTCGGGAGACGAACAAGGGGTTGCAGACAACCGAACACAAGGGAATAGTCTGCTACAAGAGCGTCTGTTAGATTGCTGAATTACTTCATTCATGTTATTTTGCTTGAATATTGTTCATGGTCATTCATATGATTGGCTTTTGCAAAGGCTCTTACAGAAAGCTAAGAGAGAACCCTCAAAAGTTACTTAAAACTTGTACATTGACTGTACGAATCACTGGCAGGGCCGGCGCTACCTGTAAGGCAGACTAGGCAGCCGCCTAGGGCGCCCCTTGGGAGGGGGCGCCGCCAGGAGCGCCGGCCCCCCATGCTGCAGCCGCCCGAGCGCTCTGTAAAGAGCCTCGGGCGGCTGCAGCTTTACCTGGGCGGTGCGTCCATGAGGGCGGACCGCACCGCCCGGGCGCAGCCTGAGGAGAGGCTGACAGGAGGGAAGCGCTCAGCGCTCCCTCCTGTCAGCTCCCTCTCTGTAGCGTGGCCGAGCCTGTATAGTCCGCGGGTACAGGGAGCAGCTGAGTGTGCACTTCCTGTTAGTCCGGCCGGGTACAGGAAACAACAGTTCCCTGTACCCCCGGACTATACAGGCTCGGCCACGCTACAGCAAAGGTAGGGGGGAGGGAGGGAGAAGGAAACAGGGAGGGAGGAGGAGGGAAGAAGGGGAAACAGGGAGGGAGGGGGGGAGAAGGGAAACAGGGAGGGAGGGGGGAGGAAGGAAACAGGGAGGGAGGGAGGAGGAGGAAGGAGGAGGGGGAGAAAGAAACAGGAGGAGGGGAAAGAAAGAAACAGGGAGGGAGGGGAAGAAAGAAACAGGGGAGGGAGGGAGGGGAAGAAAGAAGAGGGAGGTGGGGAAAGAAACCGGACAGGGAGGTGGGGGGGAAAGAAAGCAACAGAGAGGTGGGGTAAGAAACCAACAGGAGGTGGGGTAAGAAACCAACGGGGAAGAAACCAACAGGAGGGGGGAAAGAAACTAACGGAGGTGGGGAAGAAACCAACAGGGGGGAACCAACAGGAGGGGGGAGACATTGACAGGAGGGGACTGGACGGGAGAGAGAAATTGACAGGAGGGGGAGGACAGGGGAGGGAGGGGAAATGGGAGGCAAAATGGGTGGAGGGGAGAAGAGAGAGACAAGGGGGAGGGGAGAGATTGACATCCATCACACACACACACACAATCACACACAATGCACCCCTTACACACAAAGACAATGAACCCCTTGCACACAGAAAAACACACAATGCATTACACACAATGCATTACACACACACACACGCAATGCAACCCTTACACACAATGCATCCCTTGCACACACAATGCATCCCTACACACACAGAAACACAATCAGGGCCGCCTAGAGGCGAAGCCGTCGCGACAGGGCCATAACAAAGGCCTCCGGCAGTTTTACACAGCCTCACGTTGAGTCCATCCTGTTGCATGAAAATACCCATGGATGGTCCAGTGGTGCACCTAGCAGGAGCTGCAGCCAGATCATCATAACTTCTCCCTCGCACTTCTGGCGCTCAGTTAGTGAGTCAGAGCGCAGCCTCAGAGATTCCCAGGCCGCGCTCTGACTCCACACAGCGCCAGAACCTCGAGGGAGAAGTTATGATCAGCACTCCCTGCTATTCACCTCCAGCCCACCAGAGGCCAGCACTGGAGATCGGGGACAGAGGAGACTTGTGATCGGGCACCAGAGAGAATGGGCACTGCATGGAAGCAGAGGCAGCTTGGGACAAGGTAGGAGACTGTAATACAGCCTTGAGTTCCCAGCCACAGAAACTCCTCCAGTCTGTGACAGGGAAAGAAGATGCTGAGTATAGGTGGTGTTACATCAGCATTAGTCTGCTGGTGTAAGACTACCTACCTATCCTGTCTGTCATATACCCTCATCTGTACCCTAACTGTGATAATGTGTGTATATCTGTGACTGCGTTTTATGATGTGTCTGTGTACATCATGTGTGTTCATATCTGACAAGCTTCTTCACTAAAACGACAATTGTCAGTGAATTTCAAAGTCACCTGTGCTTCGAATTCAGCTATTTTGGCGCCAAATATGAAATCCGCTTAGAATTCCTGAAAAAAATTCATGTTAGTAATGTTAGTTATCTGTATGTGACTGTGTCTATCTATGTATATGCGACATGTGATCTGTGGATTTGTATGTGTATTAATGGTTAAACGCTCTAATGTACATATAGAGCAAATTAAAATAAGGAAAATATTTTACAAAGAAACTTTGAATTAAAAAAATACACAGTGTGTATTAACTGAGTGTGTGTGTGCCCATCATCATGCGTGAGTGTCTGCATGCCTGTAACTGAGTGTGTCTGACTGTCTGCTTGTAACTGTTTGTGTAACTGTCTGCTTGTGCCTGTGAGTGTGACTGTATACAGCTTTTTACTGGGGGGATGGGGCGCCGTGAAGACTTTTCGCACAGGGCGCCTAATGGCCTAAGGCCAGCCCTGCACACAATGCATTCCTTACACACACTCAATGCACCCCCCCTCAAGCACCTTACAAACTCACACACTTCATCCCTTACATACACAGAAACACACCCTTGCAGCCCTTACACATACAAACACAGATTCACACAATGCATTCCTTACACACAATCAGGACATCCCCTACACACTCCACCCCCTGTGAACAAACTCATTGGTGGAACATGAAGGTGGACCCTGGGACCCAGACCTTGAGCTGTGTAAAGGCCCCTCAAAAAAATGGAGCTGCTTCCCGTTCTCCCAGAACATTGATTTTTGTGACCACAGTTACAAACCGCCTCCAGAGAGCCTGTTCTACACCAGACCAGTGGAGCCAGACTGCAGCTAGAGCCCATCATCATCCTCATCTGCTTGTTTTAATGTAAACACGGCACTGCACACTAGCGTTAGTTAACATGGCAGGTCATTTGTGGGGCATTGTGATGTCGGGGTGGGAGGGGGCGGCAAACTTTACTTTTGCCTAGGGCGGCAAAAATCCTTGCACCGGCCCTGATCACTGGGTACCTGATGCTGTGGGGAAGCATAACTATAATGAATAGGATGAAATGAAACAAAGACACGGAGCTCCTTCCACCTGTTTGTTAGTAATATAACTTATATAGCACCAACATATTCCGCAGCGCTTTGCTATTGTAGAATGGCAAATGTGTATAATTCGTTGTCTACACACAGCAAATCATATACACTTACTGGCTGGATCCAAATCTAAGTTTCCCAGTTTGGTTTACCATACCTCAATGAAAAATTCAGCTTATTTGCCTGGTGGAGCAGGCATATTCACTACCACTAATCTTTTGTATTACCATGCTGGTGATGTTGTGCATAGGAAGAGAGTGCAAAGCATTGCATACTGCATCATATTCCAAAATGAGAAATTTGCTCAAATAATGCCAGTGAAAGTTTTATTTTTTAGAAATTACAACTGACCAGAGGAATAAAGTAATTAGAATTATTTTGTGGACTTGCAATCACAAAAAATATATATTTTTTTTCTTTGGTAGATGTCAGATCGGTAAGCAACATTTTGGACAATTCTATGCATCAGCACTGTTTTAGATGTATAGGCCACTGTAGGACACTAGAGGTCAGTCTGGTTTCAAGGTAGCTACATGATGTTCCTTAGAATTCAAATATCAGTAAAGTGTGACTACTTTTCTTTCTCAGTTTATTAACATTGCAGTAAATATAGTGAGGTTTTATGTAATTGTTCAGAATGATTTTTAAATCCCTACAACAAAAAGAAAGAGTATTGTGTGCATGCGATCTTAGTCTAAGACTCTAATTGGCTTGGTGCCTCCACTTGCACAAAAATTTCATCATTTCTGATGGTGATCCTGTAAGTTGTTCTTAGGTCGCCCATAAAATAAATGAAAGATAACCTTGCTTAATCAAACCTGTTCCAAGTAAATGAGAGTATGACCCACAAGCTTTCAAAGGCATTAAAACCATAAAGGGACACTGTAGGAACTATAACCACTGCATCTCATTGAATTGGTTGTAGTGTCTGGAGTTCTCTTGCACTGTCCCTCTATTGAGTGTCAAGCCACTGTCAAGCAGTTTAACATAAAATAATGGTCCCTGGAGGTATACCAAGGGAGATAATAAACCCATAAAGTCATATCAATTGATACTAGCAATGGCTGTTGTGATATGCTAAAAGTGGTCAGCTGATACTCTCAGCCGTCCATTGCTGCTCAAGCTAATGCTTCCTCATTAACCCCAGTAGCACAAAGGGAATGGGCTGGTGGGGGCACTTGTTTAGCATTAAAACATTAAAAACGGTTTAACGTTGAATGAAAGGAAAAGCTCCAGGGACATTACAAACTATAACCACTGCAATGAGAGAAAACCGTTCTAGTACCAACAGTCCCTTTAATGTTTCAGTGATACCTTTAGTACATGTATTTGGGGTTATTTTTACATTTTTTCTATTTTGTTTACAGGATGCTACCCTTTTCAATTATATTCTACCTAATCATTCTATTTTTTTCCTTTTTTCTTTTACAGATCAAAACACTTGAGCAGCATAAAGCCATAGAAGAGCTGAATAAGTCTTTGGAACAGATAGAAAGGACAAAAGACAAGACTCAAAAGAAGTTAATTTCTGTCAAATCAGAGCTAGATTTTACTGAGCGGGAGGCCAAGGAGGAAAAGGAGAGAACTACAAATATGCTGGAGGTTGTTACCAGTGAACTAAAAGCACTTAAGAAAACATTAGAAGAAGTATCTAAGAGGGAAAAGCAGGTAAGATATTGTTGGGTGAATATATATATAAATATATATTAAGTAACAGCTGAGCAATAGTTTAGATTTTTTTTAATGTCATTAGGCTTCAAATAATCCTTCACATACACAATATCAGCTGAAACCTTTTATTCTGCAGTTTATACACCACGGGCCAGCCAAATGTATCAAACATTAACCATCTGGGCTGCAAGGGTCATTTCTGGCACCTAAAGTTGGCAGAGGTTGGATAGAAATGTCAGTTCAAAGGCTGCTGTTTCAGTGACTTGTATTAGATATTTTAAGGTTTTTAAGGTTTAAAAAGAAATAGTACTATATATATATATTATACATCTTTTCATTAGGTATATAGATAGACATAAAACATTCAAAGAAGCTCACATTAGGGAGGTTATAACATTTTAATATCCCCATGTATGAGGATATGTAAGTGGGGATATTAGACCTGAAACATCAATCTTACCTATCCAAAATAGAATTATGCTTATTATTATTATTTTATTATTTATATAGCGCCATCAGATTCCGTAGCGCTGTACAATTGGTGTACTAACAGGCATGTTAGTCTTGTATATATATATATATATATTTTATATGAAGTTAAATATTGTCCGTGCCCATTATGGTATATCTCCTATCTAGTCCTTAATTATCATGGTACCACACAAGGTTTTAACCCGTCTCTGATCCTATTTTATTAATGTCTGCTTATACCAGATAGTGGTTGTTGATCTTCGCTCATATTACTACCACTTTCCAAAACAATTCACGTTATTATAATCGTTGATAAATCTGCTTTAAATAGGACTTACACATTTCTAAAGAAAAAAAAACAACACAAAAACCAAAAACCTACAAATGTGTATACATATAGAAATTGGATTTGGTTATTTCATAGGTTTGTAAAATTGCCATAGCTGCAGATAGGTTAGTATGTCTAAACAGATGCCACTTGATATTTTGTTCAGCATTTGGGATAATGAGTACGGAGAGTGAGGTGGGTGTCCATAATATTTCTGTTGCCTGGACAATCCACAGAGAGGGAACTGCAGTCTGCGAGGGCCATATAAATCTTAGAAAACAACATAAGATAATGTTCAAAATATAACCAAAATAAATTGAGATAGAGTACGTTAATAATGAAACTGTTCAATCCGTTCTTTCTGAAGAGGTATTCTGGAGGAAAGGCTTTATCTGTAATATTAGACGTTTGACCTTCAGCAGCAATATTACATAGAAATAAATTACTTTATTTGTTTAATGAAACATTATTATATAATATGTAGCTTGTTGGCATATTTACCAATCATTTCTTAGTTCTTTTTATATTAGGAACATATACTGTTTGTCTCCCTACAACAAGACTTGTAATATAAAGTAGTCCCTGGCTCTATCATTGACTAGTGATACAAGTAACATCTGCCTATTTGTATTGCATGGTTCCCCCTGTTTCATTCCAGGGTTTTATGACTTCACAGTGTTTATAGTAGATGTTGAATTGTATTTAAATTGTATTATTGCATGCAGTGAGAGGATAAACATGTTTATCAGGTCACAGGTTATTGGTGAAGAATAGCTTTACATGTCAATATAAAAGCACTATAAACATTGGTGATTGGTTGAGAGAGCTGGGTGTGGTTATCCCAATATTCTCAGCCTATGTGGTATAGGTTAGACAAAATTAAGACTGGTAATGTGGACTTGTTAATTCTTTACTATCCATGCGGCAGAGGAGGGAGTGATCCATGGATGCCGTGGAGATTGCTAGGTGTTGTCAAACTGCTTCTAAAAGGTTTGACATAAAGCCAACCAGGCAACATTACTGCTATAATGTGCTTTAGAGCATGGGTTGGCAACCTTTGGCACGCTAGATGTTGTGGATTACATCTTCCATTAATGCTCTTGCAGCCATGGTAAAGCATCAGGGGAAATGTAGTCCACAACTACCCATACCCCTGCTATAAAGCTTATGTTACTAAGTGTCCCTTTAAATAATCATTAAAATTGTATCTATAGTTATGCCAGAAGTTTGGATAGCACAATGGACGGAAGAAATGTATTTTTCTATAAAGTGCTACCAAATCATTTTTGCATGACAGATGGATTTGATGATTTTATTTCACATTTTTTTAAGCTTTGTATGACATATATATTTGGAGTAAGAAATACAATTCAGCTAGTTAGAGCTAACAATCTCATGAAACAAGATAACTGTTATCAAAATTAAGCTTGACATAAAAATCAATTTTATTGCCCTTAATTATGTTTTAACTGTTTGTAATTAAAATACTTTTAGGGAAGTATCTCAAATGTTAAAAGTAAGGGGTATTCTAAGCACCAAAAACATTTTAGCTTAATGAATCCATTTTGGTGCATAGATCATGTTTCTGCGTTCTCATTGCTCAATTCTCTTTGACTTAGCATTCAATTCAAGTTTGTTTATGTTTATGCAGTCCTGGTCATACATCTCCTAGATGTGACTCACAGTCTCCATGAAAATGTCTTAATTTTTAAACTAATCTTACAGCTTAGTGTGTTTACTTTAGAAGTTATGCTAATCACACACAGGAGGCTGATGCAGGCTCTAACAAGCAATTAACCGATCAGTAGTTTAAAAAACCAAAACAACTAAATGAAACACACTGTGCAATAAGGTTCTAAAATTAGATCTCTCTTTACAGGAAGTCTGTAGGGATACAGGAAGTCTGTAGGGAAGCTGTTTGAGTTACTAGTGGTTAGAAGGCATTATCAAACTAAAGTAGCTGAATGGCAGAAAGTGCGTAATGACATGCAGGGGCATGATCAATAAACCAAAACCACTAAATTGAGCTAAAGTTGTTTTGGTACTCAGAGGGTCCCTTTAATAAACAGTATACTTTAAAACAATTACTATGTTTACTATGTTATCTAAAAATGTCTAATTACTGTACACGCAAATATTTCTAATTGATTCTTTATTCTTACAGTTGGTAGACTTCCGGGAGGTGGTTTCACGCATGCTTGGTCTGAACGTCAATATCCTGGCACTTCCAGACTATGAAATCATTAAACGGCTTGAGGGGCTTATCCACACACACCACCACCATGTTGTTTCATGTGCCTAAACCTGAATGCTCAGTCTGAGTGTTAACCTATTCTTAATTAGCTTTAAAATGTTTCATTATTTTACCTTTTTGCATCAAATTATCTTGTGCCATGCTGAGTGCAGATCCATATATTTTTATCATAAAATTGTAAAAGATTAAATATATTTTAGTAATTGCTATAAAATAATGCAACGTGCCATATTTACTAGTATCTTCTCAAAATGAATGCCTCTTTTTTTTTTTTCTATTAAAGCTTTTGGAAGTAAAAAAAAAAAGCACATTAACAGTATAACTATTGTTTACACTTATTTATAAAGCAAAAGCATAGGATCTATAAGGCTTTAATAGATCACCGATTGGTAACCTTACTACCATATAATTACAAATAAACCATAATTCCCATGATGCTCTACTAGGTTTATAATAATGTTGTTTGGAAACATCGGAGTTGCCAGTGTTAGCAGTTAGGAACAGGGGTAGCTGAAATAGCAAAGTTCCACCTATACAGACAAACAAAGATTATAATAATAATTATAATAAATGGCTAGTTCTGGTGTTCTGCTACAGGTTTGAGCAGGGCCAGATTAAGAGCCCAGTGGGCCTGGTGCTGACAATCATGATGGGCCTAATTACAGAATCTTATCGACCAAAAACACTAAAACAGTCATACCTCCCAAGCATCATGTATCTGATGGAGATGGTATTGGAGGGAAACTCAAAGGATGCAGCTATGCAAAAACACATACTCTATGCTAATCTTTCTCTAATTTATGCTTTCATCTTTCAAGTAAATCCATATCCCCTAACAGCAATGTCCAGTGAAGCAGGAAGTCAATGTGCAGGGTAAAAGAGTGTGCCACTGGCGCGAATCACGTGACCAGACCTGCCAAAAGGGGTGAACATGCCCAAAAAGGGGGCATGTTTGTCCAAAGAATTGGAAGGCCAGTCTGGCATGAATGACTGTCTGGCAATCATGCAGGCTGTCCAACTAAGGGCATAGTATGCAGGCAGCACCCTGAGCTCGACATAAATACATCAAATGATGCGCCTACTCCACGCTTTCTAAGGACTGTCCCCTAGCACTCACATGTCAACTTGTCTCCTTATCATCTTACTAGCAGGCAGAAGTTCCTGATATATAGTCTGAGACAGAGAAAAGGTTTATGCAGTGAGTGTAGAAGAAAGGGATGCAGCTATGCAAAAACATACTCTATGCTAATCTTTCTCAAATTTATGCTTTCATCTTTCAAGTAAATCCATATCCCCTAACAGCAGTGTCCAGTGAAGCAGGAAGTCAATGTGCAGGGTAAAAGAGTGTGCCACTGGCGTGAATCACATGACCAGACCTAACAAAAGGGGTGAACATGCCCAAAAAGGGGGCATGTTTATCCAAAGAATTGGAAGGCCAGTCTGGCATGAATGCATGCCAGACTGTCTGCCAATCATGCAGGCTGTCCAACTAAGGGCATACTATGCAGGCAGCACCCTGAGCTCGACATAAATGCATCAAATGATGCACCTACTCCACGCTTTCTAAGGACTGTCCCCTAGCACTCACATGTCAACTTGCCTCCTTATCATCTTACTAGCAGGCAGAAGTTCCTGGTATATAGTCTGAGACAGAGAAAAGGTTTATGTAGTGAGTGTAGAAGAAAGGGGACATGCCACAATGTTAGAGAGACCAAAGTCTGCATTATCTAAACTTATTTTATTGTCAGCCAGTCCACACAGGTTTTGTTCTCATGCATCCCTCTTAAGCTTCCAAACTTAAAGGGACACTATAGTCATCAGAACAACTACAGCTCATTGTATTTGTTCTGGTAAGTACAATCATTCCCTCCAGGCTTTTTGCAGTAAACACTGTCTTTTCAGAGAAAATAACTCTGATGGCCACTCCTTAGATGGCTGCTAGAGGTGCCACCTAGGGCAGTATTGCCTAGTGTGCAGCACTGCCATTCAGTGTCTCCACCCTCTGCATGCAGACACTGAACTTTCCTCATAGAGATGCATTGAATCAGTTTATCTTCATGAGGAGATGCTGATTGGCCAGGGCTATGTTTGACTTGTGCTGGCTCTGCCCCTGATCTGCCTCGTTGACAGTCTCAGCCAATCCTATGGGGAAGCATTGTAATTTGTGCAGACCACCACTTCTGATGATGTCAATACAAGTAAAAGTTTACTATATTTAGGGAGGCAAGAGGAGGCCAGGGGGGCTAAATTGTGGTTTTAACATTATAAGGTCAGAAATACATGATTGTGTTCCTGACCCTCTAGTGTTCCTTTAAGCAAGAGTATGTGAAGAGTAGTTAGGGTTGCCACCTTTCTTGGAAAAAAATACCAGCCTTATACATTTGAATAATTAATTAGTTATGTGTGCCATCACATGATGTAAATCACAAGGAGTGACATAAGAGAAAATTCTGTAAAATCACCAACAAACTACTCACAGTTTGATTCTGCTGTATAGATGGATTGCTCCCAGTGTCTCCCTGTCTCCCAGTGTCTCAGTCTCGCAGGTCACCCAGTCTCTCAGTGTCCCTATGTATTACAGTGTCAGTGTCCCCATGTCGCCCAGTCCCCTAGTCTCCCAGTGTCAAAGTGTTCCCATTTCTCCCAGTGTCCCCATGTCACTGAGAGACCCGGGGACACTGAGACACTTGGGGACACTGGGAGACATGGGGCACTGATACACTTGGGGACACTGGGAGACATGGAGACACTGAGTCACTAGGGACACTGGGAGACATGGGGGCACAGACACTGGGAGACTAGGGGACACTGAGACACTAGGGACTGAGAGAAATGGGGACACGGACACTGGGAGACATGGGGAGACTGTGTCCCTAGTGTCTCTGTGTCCCAATGTCTCAGTGTCTCACAGTGTCCCCATGTGTCTCAGTGTCCCCCTTTCTCTCAGTTTCCCCGTGTTTTCCAGTGTCCCCAAGTGTCTCAGTGTCCCCAGGTCTCCCAGTAGTGTCTGTGTCCCCATGTGTTCCCTAGTTTCTCAGTGTCCCCTAGTGTCTCAGTGTCCTCATGTCTCCCTGCTGCCTTTCCCCCGTCCCTCACTTACCTGAGCTGTAGAGCTCCTGTCTGGACTCTCTGTGCTGTGTAGCTGCTCCCCCACGGATCAGTGAATAGTAGAGAAAGGCAGGGAGCGATATGCTGTAACTTCCTATCCCTGCCTCTCTCCACACACAGTGACCCCTACTGGCCGGTGCTGGTATTGCAGAGTAATTACCGTTTATACTGAGAAAAATACCTGCATTTGTATTTCCTGTATAACTGCAAGCCTCAATTTTTTTTTTAAATGGGCCTATTCCATGGGCCGGGGCCTGGAGCTGCAGCTCCATCAGCCCCTATGTTAATCCGGCCCTGGGTTTGAGGTACAAATAAATAGAATCAATTTTCTCAATTTTCAATTTTATTTTAATTAGCAGTTTAGGATACTTAAAGTCTTCTTTAGTCATCCCTTGGATACATGCATTTACTTTTATTACCATCCCTTTAAATAAAGAGAAGATCTTATTCACAGTCGCTACACAATGAACCCTTAGCAGACTTATTAAGGGGTGTTTATCCTGGACCTTTAGGGTAATATATTGAATTTCACACAAAGAAGACAAAAACTTACAAAGTATCATATAAGAATGTAAATATCAGCAAAATCAGTTTGTATAAATTGCCCATAAATATAATTTCACCCGTATTTAAAATAAACCCCCTGTAAATGTACATGCTATTTATTGCTTTGTAAGCTACATTTAGCACGAGTTTCACCTTAATGACTGATATTAGTAATACATGGGAGAGATTATACATTCTGCTAATTAATTTTATTTTAGAATACGTATTCACTCGACAAATTAACATTGTTTAGATTGTTAGATTAGAAAAAATGTTGGGGTTGCACCATAAGTTAGTTGTTCTGAATACTGTGTAATGATGCAATTATGAGAAAAAAGAAAAAAAAGAAAAAACAATAGTGATGTATGCACAGTTGGCGAGTATAAGTTCTGAATTGTTAAGGTCAGTAATCCTCATAAAGAGCACTTTGAAAAAGCCTTATTTAAAGGCAAGATGGGTTATTGTATTTTTGTTTTAATAAATCTGAATTTAGTATTTACTATTCTGGACACATGCTTCATTCCTGCAGCTAGCTGTACAGATGTGATATTATTCTATGGTGGGGTGTATACCTTTTTCGCTGATATAAGAATAAGAATGCAGTAACAAATGCTGGAAATGACGAAAATCATGCCACCATCATGGAGAGGTGTGGGAAAGTGTTCTCGAACAGGTCTGGAAGTGCTCAACAATACCACAGAGCATGTAGATGGCAACAGAGGTGGATCACATTAGTGTTAACTCCAAGGACCTTTCATATATTGGCAGTGACTGTTGCCACTGGAGAGTTAGTTGAACGTTCTTAACTTAGAAAGCAACAAAATATCTAACTTATCACATAAGTGATGCATGTATTGTATAAGGGACCATTATCTGTTAAAGTGAATCTTTCATGGCAGGTTAATATTAAAGATGTAAATGGGAATCATAAGTGTTAAACCCCTTTTAATAAGATAATTTGAACCTAATGTTGAAAGGAATGATGCTAACGATAATTTTTAGTAATTGTATTTCTGATAAAACTTGCTAGCATTTGTATTCTTTCAGTTATTCTAGTAATTAGCTCAGTTTGGTAAATGTTCGAAACAGGGGCATTAATGGAGCCCTGAATGTTGTACCCTATTGCTTTTTTTTACTTCACCTGTTCTGCTCTGCCTGCCTGTTCTCCTTGGTGAGTCTAGGCGTCAGATCGGAGTGGAAGCAGCGCAGTGACTTAAGGAATATGATATGATACGAGTGTCATATTTCCAATTTGTGTCAATCACTGTGCTTCTTCTGCGACTGGCTGAGCTCACTGAGGAAACCAACACAGGCATGGAGAGCAGAGCAGCATGCCGCAGAGGAAATTGGGATAATGGGAAACCAACAAAGTGCAGGCCTGGCGGCACGCTGCATGAGTGCTCTACCTAAAGATGGGTTGCGGCCACTGGCCCTGCTGAATTAGTGACTTGTCACCTACTTTCCTCTCAAACAAGATACAAGATTCAGAGCCATCTCTTTTATTGTTTATGTGTATGCCTGTTTGTACTTGTTTGTGTGTACCTGTCTGTGCTTCTGTGTGCCTGTGTGTACCTGTCTGTGTCTGTCTATGCCGATATATGCCTGTGTGTGCCTGTCTGTGCTTGGTGTGACTTTCTATCTGTGCCTGTGTGTGTTTGAGTGTGCCTGTCAGTGTCTGTGTATATGTGTATCTGTGTGTGTGTGTCTGTAAGTAAGTGCCAAGAGGTATGCTAAGTGCTGAGATAGGGGATAGGTAGAGGTGGTGTTTGGGGAGGGGCCAAGGTTAACTCAAGCCCTGGGTTGTTTTTTGACCCAAGAACCACCTCTGGTTAGAAACAATTATTTTTATACTACAGTCTACACAGGTTCTGAACACAAAAAGCAGACATTATGTGTATTTAAAAACAACAACATTTTATTACAATTATAGAATTTGTAATTATTAAATAACTGGTCAATTTCACAATTAGTAAATATTAAAATACATTTTCAGCTACCTCACCAGTAATTTAATACTTGATTTTGCAATAAATATTTTGCTTGTAAATAAAACTCTTTTGTGGTTGTTTTTTTCTTCCGGATATCCTGACCAACTTCTCCTTCTCTTCACCTCCATCTCCTCCCCCTCTTTTTTGCCATTTGCCAGCTGTCACCTATGTACCCCACTGTTTTTCCATCTCCAGTAGCTATTTCATTATTATTATTATTATAAACACTTTCCTATCTCCAAAGACAGCTTGCAAAAACAATTTGAGATAGGAAAACAAAGAAAAGCAGTGAGAATGAGTAGAGGTAGTGAAATAGTACATTAGACATACTGCAAGAATGGGAAAATACCTTGCAGTAGAGAATTTAAGTTGTTGTAAATGGAGCAAATACAAAACAAGCATCAGACAGAGACTATATAAATGAGGTAGAAGATGGTGAAATTAATTTCTGGGTATGGTAACAAAATCCTTGTGCCCTTGACCAAACAGGAAGTACATGTTAAAAGCTAAGTTGCCATAAATGGGTGTAAGAGATGGCAATCAAGAATGTACACATGCTTGCCCTATGGTGTGACTGAAACCTGTTATTACGTTTCTCCATTTATCAAGTGTGTCAGCTGAGGTTAATGTAGCTGGAGAGGTAGACCTCGTAATGGGACCTAAGAACCTGTTACGTAGGGAAGAATAACGTATGGATTAATGTGATTAATTGTAGGTTCGCCCTTGGTGGATGGATTCCTGACTCTTGGTTCTAGTCAAATGTCAGTGTGTAACACTCAGGCCTGCAAGTCCTCCCTGTTATAAAGTATCTCCTCTCAGAGTTCCAAACATTGGGTATTCCACCGCAAGGACAGATCCGAGAGGAAATAGAGAGCAAAGAAGAAGAAAAGAAAAGGGAAGAGTGGGACAGGGGATGAGGGAAGGTAGAGGGTCTGGGGGGGAGTGAGTGGTGCGGTTCTAAGGTCACTATGTCTGTCAGGTTAAGTTAATATTGAAGTTTGGATGCAAAGTCTGCTGCGGCAGTAGTCAATATCCAATGAGACCAAGTCTCCATGCAAGTTGTGGAGGTGTTAGCCGCCCCTATGTTCCTTTACTGCCCTGAGCTCTGAGCTCCTCCGTCTGGGTGAACCATGACTGAAGCGGGGGGTGGGGGGGTAATTGCCTGTTTCCAAAATTGTGGGAGGACCTGTTTAGCTATATTCAGGATTCTAATGGCCATAGTTACATAGATACATAGTTACATAGCTGAAAAGAGACTTGTGTCCATCATGTTCAGCCTTCCTCACATATGTTGTTGCTGTTGATCCAAAAGAAGGCAAAAACTTAAAAGACCTAGTCCAATGCTGCCACAAACTAGGAAAAAAATCCTTCTTGACCCAAAAATAGCAGTCAGATGTCTCATTGGATCAAGCAGCTATTACCCTACTAATTAGAAATTATATCCCTGTATATTATGTTTTTGTAAGTATTTATCCAATTGCAGTTTAAACCTCTGTAGTGACTCTGACAAAACCACCTCTTCAGGCAGAGAATTCCATATCCTTATTGCTCTTACTGTAAAAATACCTTTTATTTGCCTTAGATGAAATCTCCTTTCTTCCAGCCTAAATGTGTGACCTCGTGTCCTATGTATTGCCCTGTTTATGAATAGATTTCCAGATAAAGTTTTGTATTGGCCCCGAATATATTTGTATAAAGTTATCATATCCCCTCTCAGGCGCCGTTTTTCCAAACTAAACAGATTTAATTTTTTTTAACCTTTCTTCATAACTAAAATGATCCATTCCTTTGATCAATTTTGTAGCTTGTCTCTGGACTTTTTCTAGTGCCATGATATCTTTCTTTAGAACAGGTGCCCAAAATTGCATATCTGTGGGTGACCGTGTGGTGTAGGAGCATTGCTGCCGCGTCCGGGGGGGAGTGGCACGTCAGAAAACATCTCCAGCATGCCGTGGATTCCCACCCAGTATGGTCTGATTTTCTCACAATCCCACCATATGTATAGTGTTGCGCCCACCCCGTTTCCGCACCTCCAGCAGAGGTTGGTATGGTTTGGATCTATAGCGTGTAGTAAGGCAGGGGTGCGGTACAAATTGGTCAGTAGTTTAACCCCTTAAGGACCAAACTTCTGGAATAAAAGGGAATCATGACATGTCACACGTCATGTGTCCTTAAGGGGTTAAAGGCCGTCTCTTGCGTTCTACTAAAAAACGAATAGTGGTGTGTAAGATAGCACATCTTCTCCCAGTCTTTGTCAGTAAATGTTCTGCCCAGAGCTGTTTCCCATTTCCCCATAAATGTAGGTTTTTTCTGTCGGGGTCTCCCTCTGCAGCATGGAATATATAAAGGAGATCCCATGGGGCTGAGGATCTGGGTGCATGCAAGTTTTTTCAAATGTGGTTGGTTCCAAACTCCGCCCGGTCCCATCTCAGCAAACCCACCACGTACTAACTCAAGGAACCACACCAATCTCATACCCATCTCGTGTTAATCGTCCTCTAAATCCTCCTTCAATACTGCCCTCTGGAATGCATGCTCTGTTTCCAATATTACAAAATCCACTGCTGTCCATGACTTCTTCATCTCTTATTCCCTAGATTTACTAGTCTTAACAGAAACATGGCTTTCCCCTCTGACACTGCAACCTCTGCATCTTTATCCTTTGGTGGTCTTCAACTTACCCACAACCCAAGACACTCTAAATGTAAAGGTGATGGTGTAGGGTTTCTCCTCTCACCTCATTGCTTCTTCAAACCTCTACCCACCCACCTTCCCTTTCCATCATTTGAAATTAATTCGATTCGCCTTTTCAAACCCTTCTCTGCTAAGATTGCCGTTATTTATTTCACCCCCCCAGTTCCCCTCTCCTCTTCCTTGATCACTTTGCTGCTTGGCTACCCTATTTCCTCTCTTCTAATATTCAATCCCTAATTCTCAGGGACTTCAATATTCCCAATAACCCACCTTTGACCTCTAAACTACTTTCAATTACTTCCTCCCTCGGGCTATCACAGTGGGCTAATTCCCCCACTCATGTAGCTGGCAATACCCTCAACATAATTTTATCTTATGCATATACCGTATCTAATATCTGCAACACTCCATTTCCTCTCTCTGATCACCACTTCTTATCATTTGCTCTCAAGTACCCCCTCACTCACCAACCTCAGCCCTACCCCCTCAACTTCAGAGGAACCTTAATTCTATTCACATCCAGCAGCTTTCAGCTGATATTGATTCACAACTGCTGTCCACCCCTTCCTTCTCGTGTCCTTCACTGGCCATTTTCACATATAACACTACCCCAGCCTCTGCCTTGAACACTGAAGCCCCGCTCCAAACATGCACCTTGAGGAGGACATGCCCACAACCATGGCATACTAAATTAACACGCTAGCTGCAAAGATGCTCCCGTTGTGCTGAATGCTCCTGGAGGAAGTCTCACCCCGGCAGATTACCTCCATTATAGATCCATATTGTGTTCATACAGCGCAGCCCTTGCCCTCACCAAACAGTCAGATTGTGTATATTTAATGTAGTGTGTTTGTAGTGACTGCAGAGTGTGTATAATGAATGCAGTGTGTATAATGAATGTAGTGTGAATAGAGAATGTAGTGTGTTTGTAGTGAGTGCAGAGTGTGTATAATGAATGCAGAGTGTGTATAGTGAATGTAGTGTGTATAATGAATGTAGTGTGTTTGTAGTGAGTGCAGAGTGTGTATAATGAATGCAGAGTGTGTATAGTGAATGTAGTGTGTATAATGAATGTAGTGTGTTTGTAGTGAGTGCAGAGTGTGTATAATGAATGCAGAGTGTGTATAGTGAATGTAGTGTGTATAATGAATGTAGTGTGTTTGTAGTGAGTGCAGAGTGTGTATAATGAATGCAGAGTGTGTATAGTGAATGTAGTGTGTATAATGAATGTAGTGTGTTTGTAGTGAGTGCAGAGTGTGTATAATGAATGCAGAGTGTGTATAGTGAATGTAGTGTGTATACTGAATGTAGTGTGTTTGTAGTGAGTGCGTGTGTATGTATAATAAATTGTGTACTGTGCAGTGAGTGCAGAGTGTGTTTAATGAATGTAGTGTGTTTGTAGTGAGTGCAGTGTGTATAATAAATATAGTGTGTTTGTAGTGAGTGCAGAGTGTGTATAATGAATGTAGTGTGTTTGTAGTGAGTGCAGAGTGTATATAGTGAATGTAATGTGTAGTGAGTGCAGAGTGTGTATAATGAATGTAGTGTGTTTGTAGTGAGTGCAGAGTGTGTATTGTGAATGTAATGCGTTTGTAGTAAGTGCAGATTGTATATAATTAATGTAGTGTGTTTGTAGTAAGTGCAGATTGTGTATAATGGATGTAGTGTGTGTAGTGAGTGCAGTGTGTATAATGAATGTAGTGTGATTGTAGTGAGTGCAGAGTGTGTATAGTGAATGTAGTGTGTTTGTAGTGAGTGCAGAGTGTGTATAATGAATGCAGAGTGTGTATAGTGAATGTAGTGTGTGTAGTGAGTGCAGAGTGTGTATAGTGAATGTAGTGTGTGTAGTAAGTGCAGAGTGTTTATAATGAATGTAGTGTGTTTGTAGTGAGTGCAGAGTGTGTATAGTGAATGTAATGTGTTTGTAGTGTGTGCAGATTGTGTATAATAAATGTAGTGTGTTTGTAGTGACTGCAGAGTGTATATAATGAATGCAGTGTGTAGTGAGTGCAGTGTGTATAATGAATGTAGTGTGATTGTAGTGAGTGCAGAGTGTGTATAGTGAATGTAGTGTGTAGTGAGTGCAGGGTGTATAATAAATGTACTGTGCAGTGAGTGCAGAGTGTGTATAATGAATGTAGTGTGTTTGTAGTGAGTGCAGGGTGTATAATAAATGTACTGTGCAGTGAGTGCAGAGTGTGTATAATGAATGCAGTGTGTGTAGTGAGTGCAGAGTGTGTATAATGAATGCATTGTGTGTAGTGAATGTAGTGTGTTTGTAGTGAGTACAGAGTGTGTATAGTGAATGTAGTGAGTGCAGAGTGTGTATAGTGAATGTAGTGTGTTAGTAGTAAGTGCAGATTGTGTA